CCAGAAACACAACAGTGTAAAGCCAGGATCCTTACATCTTTTACTCATTCAAAACCATCATATTATGATCAACCATCAAATATACCAGGAAACCTGACAAGAAATGAAATAAACACAATTAGCAAAATGAAATTCAATTCCTCAAGCTTGTCAGCCGACAGATACACTGCAAAAACATGGACTGAAGCATTTGCACATAATAAGAAATATATTATCACATGTATCAACACTATGTTTAAATACTCACACATCCCACATATGGTCACAACACTAGGATGCACTTTCCTGCCTAAACCTGATGGGATATCCCTAAGAATGGTAAAAAGTCCCAACTATCTGTACAAAATAATAGATCAAATCATTCTGATGAGGATAAACACAAAAATTGACAAAATGGTCGACAAAAAACTTCAATTTGCTTTCCTGCCTCACAGTAGACGAGAACTCATGATATATGAGATATTGAAAAGTGAAACATGGACATACATGGCGACAATGATTCAATTGGACGTGGAGAAAGCATTTGACACGGTTAATCCTCAATTTGCATTACAAAAAATCAAGGAACATATGGACCCATCAACAGCGGCAATAATATCTTCCATTCTACAAAGCAGATACCTAGTAATGTTTGAAAATCAAAGAAAAATATTCACAAAAGAAACTGAAGGGGTACCCCAAGGTACAGCGACTGGTCCGGTACTATTCATTATCGCCCTGAATGAAGCATTAACACGAATAACCAAATTAGGAGTGCGTATATGGGCGTACGCCGATGACATGATCATAATCCTGAACAAACAACAAACAAAATACATTGATACTATTCTCTCTCAAGTCTCTGAAATCTTAAAAGACTACTCATTAAAAGTCAATCTGCAGAAAACAAAAATCCTAACAAAACAACAGATAGATAAAAATGGTTGCCAAATAATAGGTGAACGGATAATGAACACTACAAATCGTTTCGTACACTCGCATTATATCAAAATCAAAGGAGAAAAACTCGATAACCTACTGGAGAATGAATTAACAATACAATGGAGAACACTACGTTACCTTCCGAGGAAAATTCAACGTCTCATCATCACCTCAATTATATTACCTAGAGTATCTAACGACGAGTTTTGGGTGATAATCACTTCTAACCCTAATGAATTGGAGGAACGTCTACAGATAATGATTAAGAAATACTCCACACTGTTGCGACGAATACTATTTCTTCCGGCAGCTCTTTCTAGTGGATATCATCTACTTCTACAATATCAAATTAATATAATACTCAACAAACTAGAGGCTATAATCCGTATCACAACGATGAAACACGGGACAACGAACGAACCCCCGATTGATGAGCATATTCCAATGATGACTTTTGAAGTCTCACAAAGAAACCTGGTAGGAAAGCTGGGACCTTGGGTGGGGATAAAGAAACTAAACAGTAATACCTACTCAGTGTTAAGGTTGTGTGAGAGAGGAACGATCGGGTCAATCAATGTTTTAATTCCAGATAATCTATCCATGTACGAAGCCCAACTTGGAGTACTGGACGTTGCGATGGCCAATATAGTGAAACCGGGAGATACCATCATCTTGACCAATGAAATGACAAAATACACAGGACCCAAATCACTCTTCGCGAGATCTGTTAATCATATCCTGTACAAGTACCTGAATAGACCATGGAACTGGACGGAATATGTAGACCTGTCTCCATATATACCTAATCCGGAGATGACGATAAGAATAACAAATACATGGAATCTGATGAGACTTGAGAAACATGTTGCCCGTCAAGCTAAGGAACATTACATTGCGGCTTGGATTAACTTACCTTCGGTGTGGCCCACACTTTACCCAGAATTGACAATCAAGAATTACTACCGTTACAGGAAACTACAGGCAGCCTTAAGATTCAGACTGGAAGGAACTTATTTGAAATGCTGTGAGAAGAGGAGAGAACAGAACTCTGTCTACAAACACCTTTTAACAAATTGCCAATGGATGGACAGCTGGACACAGAAATTAACGAGTTCGTTAAACGTGGATAAAATGCAAATCTCGGATTATAAATTACTGATGAACAAGATAGAATTTATAAATTTAACAATAATCGCAAATAATATAATTAAAGATATGTAACCCTCTCACAATAGCTTATCAAGCTTTATATGACAATTGAGGTTGGGCGCATGAACCAACCAGTCATATGACTTGATGGACATTTGATTTAATGTTCAATAAAAATGGTTTGCAATATTATATTTATAATCTTATGTGTTCCATCAAAAAATCATCATTATTATCATCTTTCACCAACTCTTCTGCTTCACATAAACCACACCTTTTCCCTTTAGTTTGATCTTCATCTCCAGAACTTCATCTACTTTATCTGCTTCATCTTTATCATCTTCCTTCATCTTGTTCTTGTTCTTGTTTTTATTTTTCTTTCTACTTTTATCAGTCTTTCATCTGTCACCTTTCGTTTGTTGTCACACTGACAGACAAAAATTTTTTATGCTAAAAGATTCAAAAGGTGTTATAATTATAATCATCTTAACTAGTCTGCATTTTTAGTCTCTCTCTACAACACACACAACACACACTCATTTATCTAATCATCATCCAATTTTAGTAATTTTTCACCACCTTAAATCATTCAAGTTCAATAACGTTAATAGATTTACCTTAAAGTCGACAATATATTAATCTTTGATGGTTGCTTTACTGTCCTCTTTGCTCATTCTTTTTGTACATGAACAGTGTCTTCATCATTCGATTATCAACCTTTATCTTTCATAATCAATCTACATGATTCACTTATTTAACAGTTGATTCCCAACTTAATTACACCAGTTTGTACATTTCAATTCGAATGATTAGCAACAGTGACATCTATCAGAATATTTATAAAGTAATCAGAAGCAAATTAATTGCGGTTCCTTCAAATCTAGTATTGTAAGCGATAGATTACAAAATGAAATAAATTGTAGATTATTATTTTGATTAAAACTCTTATGAAGGCTTCTTATTTAAATTTTTAAGGTTGATGCTGAATCTTTATTACATTTCATTTCTTCAGTCTACTTACTGTTTACAGCAATTACAAGCTTAATTATTATTCACTCTTTTGCTTCTGAATCTAATTAATAGTCCAACAAATTGGTGTATTAATAATCATATGACTGGTAAAACAGCAATAAATGATGAAAGCCATTTAATTGGTTACCTCAACCCAATGATTAACTAAAAAACATAAAATGATCATAAATTTTGACGAGTACCAACCAATAACTCATTTTAACGGCTTCAAGAAATTAAATTGTCAAAAATTTAAGGGTAAGATACATGAGAAACTGTCAGCTTTTGTTGCACTTTTGAAACATCATTTTGGTTAGTCCATGCTGATAATTGGGCTTTGTCTGAATTACGACTGAATTTGTGTAAATTAAACTTGGCTAAGTTAAATAATTTTATGTTGAATCAGATTCGATTGGGTAGATTTGGTCAGTTGGATGAATCTGGTAAACATTGTAAATGCAGTTAAAATTGACCGAAGCTTTTCAGGCAATTTGTTAACTTGTAATAGTTGATCACATTAACATTAATCAATCAACGAACAGTTACTGAATTGAAAGTTGAGTAAACTAAGGAAACATTAGTAATAAGTTTGACAATCAAATAGTTTGTGAGAAAACACACAATGACCAGTTTAAATGAATGACCCAGATTGATTTTTAAAAAAGTTGACCCTGGTTAATGGTTTTTCATTATTTGCTCAGCACAAAACATCAAGTGACTATTAATAGATGGACAAATCAACAAATTGTTGGATTTCATTGAAACAATCGAGTAAACATGATTGTCAATGTTGAGATTGGTTTAAATCACGATATGAACATGTTAAGTGTTTGGTGCGAGGCTGAAATACGAAGGATAGTTGGCGAATAGCGAAAGTTGACAGACATTGAATGGTTAATTAATCCTGACAATTATCCATATCCATACATAAAATATATAAAGTCAAAACAACAATATTTTTGCACAAAAATTGTGGCCAAACTGAGCGGGCTTAACTGTACATTTGATCGATGGTTGCTTTATCAAGAAATCGGGTATTTTCAGACTGGATTAACTATATCATATTCAAATCAGTCAGCCTCTAGTCTTGGTTAAGGACCATACACTTGAACTGTTGTCATCACAGGTATATTAAGATGATTTGAAATAATAGACAAGGTCGAGAAAATTAAACAACTTCAATCGCTACAATACTCGGCTTCATCGATTTCATGAAATTTTAACCTTGCTGGACTCAATTGACCTTTGGGACCACTTTAAATTTGGTTATTGGTTGACAATAACTTGACATGGAAATTAAAAGAACAACTTTAACAAAAGAACAAATTAAAATAATTGAAAATATGGACAATTAGTGAACGTATAAAAGATACAATGTAAAGCTAACTGTGTTAGCCATGGAAACAATATGACTGGCTTCAAGAAAAATGGAGGGACAAATTGACCCGCCACAATTGAAATATCAATTTATTATCCATTAATTGATTAATTGTCATTCTTGCTACTATTTCATGATAATAATTGAGATTAACAGGTTGTATTATTAATCGAGAAATATGTTGAAGAGTAACACAAATAAGTTATTGAATTGAACAGTGAAAATGGGTTTTGATTGTTTCCAAAATGTTGAACTGAGGGAAATTATTTATTACATAAACAGGAGGAAGCTGGTCCATGTTGTTGGTGTTGATAAAGATGATAAAGATGATTAAGATGATGAAGATGATGAAGATGATGAAGATGATGAAGAGGAGGAGATTGAAAAAGTAAACTTTTCATGTAATTGTTAAAAGTTAGAGGCTATCTCGTCTAAAGTGACCAAACACATTCATCTACTGTATTGACACTTAGCACTTAAAATATACAAGGTTCTTTTTTTTTCTTTTTCTTGACTTTCCTAACAAAAGATCACAACAGGAGAAGACGATGATGATGATGATGATAAAAGAAGACGAAATTTTTAATATGCTATCAACAATAATAACAATGAACAATACCACTGCTGGTAACAAGGGAAACTTGGCACTTTTTTACTTCAATCATTCACGAAAAATAATAAAGAAGATCATCAGTGGTTACGCCTTTTCTCATCTTCATCTTCCTTGCCAATCATCTTTATAATCAAAATCACTATTCATTTAACCAATGGTCACTACAATCAATTTTTACAACTTAATAATTTACTTTCGCATTGTAACACACATTTAGAAGGGTTCTTTCACCCACTACCTTAGGTTGCTTTACTTGTTGCTTTTGTTTCTGTGTTTACTTTTGAACAAGAGCACCTATTTCCCCTGTTTAAATTGTTATTATATTTTTTTTAATTTACCACTTGACTATTGCTGAAAACCAGCTATTTACGGATGATCTTGTTTAAATTGTGAACAATATGAATGTAAATTTTATTGGATTTATAGTCTGTTTTACTTGGATTAACTGTTTTCTCAACAAACCAGCTGAATGTTTTTCTAGTGAACTTGCCACTGCAATAACCAATGCATCTCTTGGACGAGCTGATTTTGATTTAGTTGTCCAAGCTTGGAATAAATATCGTGATGAGGTGAAAATTGATTTAGATTTACTTACATCAGGATTGGCTTCACAACTGGATCAAATAATAATCAAATCAAATGTTTCTCGACGTTGTTCACAAGGTTTAAAATATCTTTTCGACCAAAGTGAAAACAAAAAGACTTGGGCTCTTCAAGGTAAGCTTTTGATTTTTTTCATCGAAATAACTCTTTACTATTATGGAAACAATTAAATTAATGTTATTTTCTTCATTTAACTACCTCATTACTTCAATTGTATTGGTAAAAGCTCTAAACTCATGGGGACAGTTTCCTCCGCCTGGTTTAATAAGTGGAACGACTACATCTTTTGGATCTTATGACCAGTGTTTGAACATAATTACTCCCAATTCCAGTTTCACTGGTCAATATTGTACAGTGTTGTTTCGTCCATTGTTACCTCATAGACCTCGATACCATAATATACTTAAAAAACTATCCTTATTTGAATCGATACCAAGATCGTCTGCAAGAAACCATGTAATTCTTATAGAAATAATTTTACTGCATTCATCTAGACTACGGAACTTAATATTTTTCTTGTTTTCTTAGGTTGTTGAACACATGAAATCGAAGGCTCATTTCTTTTATTACACTCAAATACGGATTGGAGTTTGTTTAACTACTCACTGTGATTTGGAAGATGTTAATTCAATGGTTAAAACAAGTAAGGAATGGAAATTATTGTTGGATCTGTTTTTGGGGAAATCTATTCACTGCACTTTGTGATCAGTTTTAATACTTTTCATTTTCACCTTTTAACTGATAGTTGCTGAAGGAATGTACCTTAACGGAGAGGTTACTCGGTGTGAAAGCAAATCGTCAGCCCCAACAAACCTAAATCACCATCAAATAATTGCTTTGTGAGTTGAATTTATTTTTACCATTATTGTTCAACCAACATGTATTTACGGTTGGTCAATCCTGATTTAAAGGTTCCTTTGCCTTCAATAAGCAAACTTTTCTGTTGTAAGAATCAATCAACTTAATTACAAACATAATTACATCTACATTAACAATTTTACAGATTCATTATACTCACTATACTCATGGCTAACCTTATTGGTACACTGGCTGAGCTTCTTATCAAACCAGGTAATTTTTTCCCCAAATTTTAAACCATTTCATCAAAGTGCCATTGATTTTAACAAATTAAAGCTAATAAACCATCGCCAACCAAAATGAACTGTAACAGTCCAATCATCCATTCAGGCCTGACTTTTAAATGTTATTATCTGATCAACAAGTAAATCTCTAGATTGATTCTAATTGTTATTCATATCCGATACATGAATGTAAATAATAACAATTTTCAGTTCAATATTTCAAAATAATGGCTGCTTCATTTGAGTCGCTCAAATACAGCAGCACCTTAAATTGTTCATTAATAGCTGACTAATAGAAAGTTGAAAATTGTTGAATCTGTTACAGATTGAATTGAAGCTAAAGATTCAATTGATACCAATTGTTGTCCAGCAAATCACTCAATTGAATCAGTTCAACCCAAATACAGTTAAGAAGCTTATCACGTTCATTGCTTGTCAGTTAAACATTCATCTATTTATTGATGATGATCAGATAGAGTTGAGCTTTTTTTTTGGTAAAATCAATAACTTTGCTAATGAAAATTAAACTCTTTTTTATCCCTTTCTTGATCATTGACTTAAATGATGCATCTTTTGATATCTTTATTTCAAGAATCACGATTAGCGTCTTATTGTTCAATATTATTTGCATTCTCCATCCGAAGAAACTTTGCCTCGCTATTTAAAATGGAAACCTCAAATACGGAATTGAAATGTGTAAACGGAATCAGAACACTCACTATGGCTTGGATTATCTTTGGACATACATCGGTTTGGATTCATTACCATGCTTTTAGTATGATAATTTCAAGATTGTTGATCCAATGTGATCCTTAAATGGTCAAATTGGCAAACTTGACCTTAAATCAATAATGTTTACAATTATATTTCATTGTTTAGGTCATTCTTTCAATATTGTTGATGTGATCAAACCATTTGGAGCTCAAGCCTTGTTGAATGTAACCCTTTCTGTGGACACTTTTTTCTTGATTAGGTATTTGATGACTTTGACTATCTTAATTTACATCTAGTATTATATCCTCTGATATGATTATTTGATTAGGCCTTTCGACCATATCTAATTTGATTTGCTTTCCATTAATCTTTTCAACCTTAAGTGGCCTCTTGACTTCATATGTGACTTGGAAAACAACGGACGGTGTTTACAAGAAATTCAACTCTTTTGGATTCATTATATCTCGTTATACTCGATTAACGCCACTTTTGATTGCAGCAATTTGTTTGACTCTGTTTTTACCATTAATCGGATCAGGTCCACTTTGGCAAGAATTTGTCTCTCCAATTGGTAAAAGATGTGAAGACAATTGGTGGATTAACTTGCTATACATTCAAGCATTTTATAAAACCGGAGATATTGTATGTAACTATTGTTAATATTGATGCTGAATCAATTTGTAAATCAAGTTTGGTGAACCAAATTGAGTTATTACCAATTGCAATCTTTTTGCTTCTTTAACTCGTCTTTTGACAATTGATTTTATCTGTCCTAAATGCTAATGCAGTCAACAGTGAATAATCCACTTTTTCGCTTCTCTTCCCACAGTGTTTATTACCAACATGGTGGCTATCCAATGATATGTTATTCCATATGATATCACTATTGATTTTGGTTCCATTGATGAGATCTCAGAAGTTAGGCGTTGCTATGAATCTTTTCGCAATATCGGTATTCACTTTAGTTTCAGCATCCATTAACTTCTCGCAAGATTATCCGCCGGCCATTTTACCGACATTTCCTCAAGTAGAGTAAGTTAGTCAACCTTTCTTCAATGGGCCTATTCAACAATGTGGACAATCCAATAATTTGACTCTATTTTTGTTTTCAGGGATTATTGGCTTTTTATTTATCAATATTTTTGGAAACCTTATCTTCATGGTCCACCTTTCTTCATTGGATTACATCTTGGTTATCTTCTCGCCAGAAAACGCTTCGCAAAATTAAATAAAGTATTTATTGAAAGGAATTCATATCCAACTATCTGTTAATCTAATATCTTAATTTTGTTTCAGACTGTATCTGTAATGGGATGGATTATTTCATTGGCTTTGTTGATTGTTGTCTTTCATGCTCCTTACCCATTGACTTTGGGTAAAACTTGGCCTAAAGCGGTTAATATGATATTTGATTGTACAAATCGAGTTTTATGGGCTTTGTCTCTTTCTTGGATGATATACGCATCTGCTTCAGGTCATGGAGGTAAAATCATTGTTAATGATCGATATTTTTTAATGTTACTCAATTTTATCCGATTTTGTTAAATTAATATTTCATTCTCCTTTTTTTATTCAGGTTTCATCGGAAAATTTTTGAGTTTGCCGATATTCGCTCCATTTGCGAAAATAACTTATGCAGTTTATTTAACACACATGTTTCTTATTTGGACTTATATGGGATCTCGAAGAGATCTGACTTATACCAGTACATATACAGGGGTATGTTTTTTGTCGATTTTTTAGCTTACGATTTTAAAATGGTTTCATTTTCTCCTATCAACAGATTAACATGTTTGTTTCTCATTGGGTTCTGGCACAGATTTTGGGTGCTTTAGCTGCTTTATTATTTGAATCGCCTTTCTTGAATATCCAAAAGTCCATGGCTAAACAATACCAGAAAAAAGAAGATTCTGTTGGATTACAAGACTGGGATAAAGAAGAAATGAATAAGAAGTCATTGTTAACTAACAGTTGATTCCAACATAAGTATTGTTTGATACACTGTTTTAATTAATGTCTATTGTTTAATGATAAATTATTCGACATGGTTGTTTGTTTCGTAAAATGGAAAGTTTTCAATTTTGGTCATTTCTAAAAAAAGAAAGATGTCAATACAAACTTGTTTTTGGTATTACAGAAGTTTCCAATGTAAAAATAACTTAGTAAAAAAGATAAATATTGAATGAGTCGAAATATTAAATGTCTCGCAAAAAAATTGAAATAAAAATTGAAGATTCAGGATTTTGAAGATTCTGAAGCAGAGTCATCGATATTTAAATCATAAGTCGGTAAATCCATTCTTTCTGAGCAGTTAGAGCTTCCAATTTCATCGTACTCTCTCTTCGTAAGACAAAGATTGTCCAGTACAGATGGTAAATTGTTAACAAGATATCTACCACCAAACCATGGATCAGTGATGGGATTTTCTGGAACAGTTACAGATACATCATATAAGGCATCAGCCATCGATCTAACATCTCGATAAATTCGATCTCTGTAACCGGGCAGACAAGAGTTACCACCAATGAGAACAATATTATTATATAGACCATATCTGAACTCTTCTGGACATGATTCAATAGCGTGAACAATGGAATGAGAAATACCAATTTGTCCAATACCAACATCAGAGGGATAGAAAAGTATTTCAGGAACTTGGAAACGTTCATTATTCATACGAATACATTGGAGATCACTGTTGGGGTTATTTTCATCACGGATATAACCTCTCTTAACAGTCATAAAATCGGGTAAAACATAATCACGGGCAATTGAGTTTCCTTTCTCTCGACATGTCTCGAGGTCTTTATAAAGCTGTGAGGAAACATAGCAACAATCTTCTTTACATTGATTTATCACATAGGTTTCATCAAGAACGTGAAGTTGCCGGTATGAAATGATATCTTTGAGATGATTAGTCAATGCTTTCCCGCCAATATCCATTCTTCTTATAGCTCCTTTAAATAAAAGAAAAACTCGTTAGTGTCATGTGCATTTCTTTATTAAAATTTAGCCTACCTTTGACAATCTTGCCTCCAATAAATGGTACAACATGAGTAAATGAGTATCCAGAATCAACAACAAGGCAACATTTGTCACTATTCACTTGTTGCACATGTTTAACCATAGACAAAAAAGCTGGTACACTTTTGGCAAGGGTTCCAAATCCATATTCCTCGTAAAGAACTTCAAGCATGGTTTCACGAAGTTGACGAAAATTAAAATATGGTTCGGTGTAAAGAAAAACTTTATCCTCATAGGAACCTTCGAGTTCAAGTTTGTTGCGAAAAGTATGATCCAAGATTTGCTTTTGAATATCCCAATTGATCGGGAAACCTTTGTTGAAGGGTAAAATATAGAACAGACCTGAATAGTCCTTACAATCGTCCAATTGATCGCCGATGAAGAGTCGCCGACGTTCACTTTTAACTTTACAGATGCTATTGCTCATGATTTTAGGACTATCAGGAGAATCTTTGTAACCATATTTTATTGAATAGCCGCCAATGTCAGCAATGATAATGGGACTTGATGTATCCATCATCTCTGTCGAGTTGTCCATGGCTAATTGATCGACAGGCAATGTTGACTTGGACCTTGATCACAATTGACTAAAAAAATAATTAATAAACATTAGTTAAATGTATTAAATATACAATAATTAAATGGTTGAGATCTAAGAAGCAAAACAGATGATTGTTGGAAGCTCAAGTTGTGCTTAACAACCATAGGGAGAAACATGTGTTGAAGCAAAATCAAAGTCTTTGATAAGAGAGACTAAACAGAAACTCACAAGATTTTCTGGTTTTTAGTTTATTATTCCAACCATCACTTACTTGGACAAAGAAAAGGGTTAGATATAGTTCATCAATATCTGGACCATTAATCAATGTTGGTAAAAAAAGTCGCCATTATCTTAAAGTATCTTAATACATGAACATATCAGAGTATTTTTTTGCTACTCGTTAGTTTATTAATAAAGGGTGTATTGTTTAAGAGTGAAATTATGGGAGCAAAAAGAGTAACATTTATCTACCTGATTGTGGTGATTATGATGATAAAGATGTTGATAAATATGATGCATTTTTCATCATTGTCCATTTTCACCTTTATCTTCATCTTATCAACATATTTATCGTCATATTCACCACAGTCAGATAAGTAAATGTTACTCTTTTGCTCACATAATTTCACTCTTAAACAATACACCCTTTAGTAACCTGAGGCATACATTAAGAAGTACATCGCAATTCAATCATAAGAAAAGACTCTTCGGTAGATCCTTAAAGTTGATTTTAATATAAGCAAGGTTAGGTCATAGTTAAATTGTGAAATTTTTTTAGCTATTACAATAGAACAACGACATGAAAAGAGCGAGCATTAACCCGAAAAATGTACTTGAAGTCCTTGGTGACTTATTAGTATTGTATGGATTGATTCATTTGCATGAAGTCTAAAACAGATTAACCAAAACTACCATTGAAACTACGTTTAGGTATTATCTAATCAAGAGTTGAATTTAGTCGACTGTCAGTTAAAATTTTAAGCACTAAAACTCACTTTTACTAATTTTACGGTTTGCTTCTGATACTAACATTTCCTGAACATATTTTATTCCTAATTAATTGGTTGCCAAAATGAATAGAAATGATATAGATTTAGATAAAAGAGAGTTCTATTCTAGTTAAATTCTGCAAAATTATTAACACCTTAAGAACGTTTTCATAAAAAAGTCAAACTTCGAGGGTGCAATATCATACGATATCATTACAGTCATTGTTATTGCTTCCAATAATTTTACATTTTTGATTTCATATTTTTATAATAATTTCTCTTTGAAAAATGTAACAATATTCCCGTTTAACAATCAGAACCATCTGCTTTATCGATAATAAATTGAGTTCAACGAACGGTTTGAGTGTATTGCCTTCGATTTCTCGATTCTGATTTTGATCAAAAGTATTTTCACGAAAAAAATTTACAATAAGTAAGAATGCTGGAATTGATCGAGCAATTTTAATGCCAGTGAAAGTATCCAGAAGGAATATCTGAACCCCGAAAATCGAACATCTCAGAATTTAAAATAAACTCGATTTTATGAAAGACGATATCAAATACACTGTTGATTTTAAACAAAAGTTCTGTAAGGTGTCGCGTTCAGCCACAATTACACACTAAACAATTTTTTTTTGATTTTGATATTATTAATGGTTTGCCTGTTTCACGATTTTCCTGATACTTTCACTGAAAGACTTGAAATTGATTGCGCTTTATTGTGACAAAAGATGGAATCAATCCTAGGTCACAGCATAAAAATTTACATTTCGAGCGTATGTTAACACTTGAATGTGCTACATCAACTGTTTTCTGCCATAGTCAAAGATATGGGCATAATTTTGAGCTGATCAGAATTTGTTTTGAACCTAACGCCGCATCGCACAGAACTTTTGATAAAAGTTAACAGCGTTTTTTAATATCTTTCATAAAATCGAGTTTATTTTAAATTCTGAGATGGTCGATTTTTTGTGTCAGATATTCCTTTGTGTTGAATTGCAAAAAAATTGTTGCTTGTTGAATTCATTCAAAAGCTTCCCTTTTTTATTTCTTTTAGCTGTGATTCTTTTTCAAGAACTTCGCTTCTCGCTTTTGTGTTTCACGATTATCATAAACAAAGTGGTTGTTGGACTAAGTTAATCATGAAATCATAAAAAATATAAAATTACCGGTAATTCTTATAAACCGGATAAAATTCAGAAATACGATGTTTAACCTTTTCTAAAAGGGCGCCTTTACTCTTATTGGGTATTTACTTCAGCTTAACTTGTAAGCTGAAAAGATATACAGCTGAAGGAGAAAAAAGTGAGCTTATGGAGCTAAACAGGTCTAACAAGGTGTTTCAATTGATTTTTTTGATTGTCGCCTTTTCTTCGAGTTGGTGGGGCAAATTGTCATGTTTGTAAATTGACTATGCGAATACATCATTAATTATCAATCTATTCTAGTGTTTCCAAAAATTATGCCAGTGAGCTTATGTTTTCAGTGATGTTTTTTGGTTTCATGGTAAAATGGGTTTAAATGTGAACCTTCAACCATGGATATGTTTAAATTGTCATTTGGCTGCCAGATGAAAATCAAAGGATTCATCTTGCTGATTATTTGTCTCGTCCTATCTACTCTCTTCTATTGCTTGGTTGGTGATCAAAAACCATTAGAAGGAATTATCTATGACAACCATTTTTCCCAAAGTTTGGTCAAAATTAAAAATGTTGTGGTACCTGCGGTTCAAGAGAATCGAAATTATTACTTGAACAGTAACACTCAACAAAAAAGTAATACCGAATTAAAAGAGAAATATCTTAAAAACCTGGGATTCACGAACAATCCTAGATTGTTTCCTAGCTCTTTTTGGAATAATGTTACCTTACCAGTTTTTGTCACTGCCATTAAAAACAATGAAATTCATTATGCCCAAGAATTGATAAGATCAATGCAAGAATCTTATCCGGAGGCTTCATTGCTAACTTATCTTCTAGACATGGATGAGGAGGAAACTGAAGAGGTAATAAACGTCGTCAAAAATATTTAAATACATGTATATTAACAATATCTTTTCTTATTTCTTAGGTTACCAAATTTTGTAACTCCTCTGTATCATGTTACGTGAGAAAGTTTGAATTTCAAGATTTTCCTCTCCATGTTAGCGATCTCAAATTATTTGCATTTCGTCCAATTATAATTCAACAAGTTTTAAATCAAGCTGGTGCTGTTTTATGGATTGATCCCGGTTACCAGTTAACATCTTCAACTAAAACTAAACTTGAAAAAGTGACTGATGCAGCCAAGAAGGAAGGTTTACAGTGTTGGACAATCGATGAACCTACAACCGCCATGACACATCCAAGAATGTTTGATTATTTCCATACATCTCCAGAAAACTATTATTTTCATCGAATGATCGAGTCATCGATTCTTGTACTATATAACATTGAAAAAATTCACACACAACTTATGCTACCTTGGCTAAAGTGCGCTTTAACAACAGATTGTATTGCACCAATAGGAGCTCAAAGTTATGGTTGCAGATTCGATAAAAGGCCATTATATAGGTATTCTGGTTGTCATCATTATGACTTGTCAGCTTTAAGTATTATTTTAGGTTACATGTACAATTATCGAGCTGAACCTTATTCGACTGATGGGGAAAACAAATTCTTCACCATGATCACATCGGACGAAGGTGATGATTCTAAGTCAACTAAAAATTCTCTAGAATATACTGGAATAGATCCAATATTGAGGCATAAAGCAAGAAAAGGAAAAGGAAAGTTCAAGTAAACTGAATCGACAAGGAAAACAAAGATTTTAAATGATGTGATATGTGAAATATCATAAAACAATATTGAGAAACAACCTTTTCTACGTGACTGTACTAGATGAGTCATTTTCAACCATCCAAAAGTTATATTTCTCATTAACTTATTACCAGTGAAGATTTATCTTATTGTTTTGAAAGATACTGATCGTAAAATTTTTTAGGTTCATTGTCTTCTATGTAAATGTTGTACAATGATTTTTGTGTTGCTTTTTTTTCTTTTTTTTCTACTGACATTTATTTGCTTAATTAATCAAGTTATTCAATTATTAAAATATAACACCTTTGATAACTCTTGTTTCTTATTCCCATTGTTACTCATGGTATATTGTGAAAACTGCTAATATTTCTAGAATGAATAATTTTATTGTTGTAATCATGTAAGGCTAGTAATAACTTCACTAATCCATGTTGACATTTTTTGCTGTTAACAGATTGGTGTACGCATTTAACAGGATGTTATGATTTTTGCTTGTAATCATTAACAATCATTCAGTTGAAGATTATTTATAATTCCAACAAAAGCATCAGACTTTGGCATATAAATTATCTCTAAGTATATTAGACTCTAGTTTTTGCATATTAACTCTTATCTATCCAATTGAAACCCTCCATGATTGATTGTTAACGCAAACAAAATAGTTCATTACAATTGTTGTATTCATAAAATTGTATCCTAGCAAATCATATTGCATGATCAAATGCCATTAAATGCTCCTTATTTCAATCTATAAAGCTTATCGACAGAATTATGATTAAGTCGAATCAGCAATAGACTGGTATTGAACTTTAAGTCAATGCTCTTGAGGGTGAATCATTCATATTAAGATATTTGAAATTGGCCGTGCTTTTAGGACTATCAAGTAGATCTTTGTAACAATACTTTATTGAATAGCCGCTAATGTCAGCAATGATAATGGGACTTGATGCCAATTGATCGAAAGGCAATGTTGACTTGGATCTTGATCAAAATTGAAAAAACAATTAATAAGCATTAGTTAAGTGTATTGAGTCAACTATAGCTATCCGATAACTGATAAATGGCTGAGATCTGACAACTAAAGCAGTTTATTTGTCCATCTCGCACTTTAACTTGTCCCCTATGATGCCATAATTATTGATTACGAATTATTCACATTCAAAGACGATTTTGCCTAATCGTCCAACATTGGTGACACAATCTAATTAAAAAAAGGCTAAAGTTTTTAGCATCATTTTCTGATGTTCAGAATCGATTTTCGGAAATGACAGTCGATGAATTAAGATAGATGTTGATTGAAACACTTTTTAAAAAATTTGTGTTAAAAATTGTTATATTTTTCATTGTAAATTGTTGAAATTTTCAAAATTAATTTGCTAATGTTTGTTGGCAACCACTTCATTATTATTATTAACAGTTAATATTTAGTTTAAATGTTTATTAATACATGCTGAAGGTAAAATTTTAGATTGAAAAGCATGGAAAGGCTATAAACAAATTACTGTAATGATTGTCATTGCCAATGATCAACATATAGCTGTGAAAACATCAGTTTTGCTTCAGTTTCATAAACATTTCGCTTTCATTGCCTTTAAAATGGGACTTTACAAAAACAAGTTGACTAAAAATGGATCTCATTCATCAACTCAACATGGAAAAATTCTGCAATTTCGTCTATTCTTTCTCATACACTTCTTTATTTGTTTGATAAAAAATATCACCATTATCTTAGAATAGGTCAAAATCAGATTTCGATTTTGCTACTTGCTGGTTTTCGACCTGTAACAGACAAAAGAGTTATTACTATCATAAGAAATGGTTTCTGAGAAAATAAAATAAGAAAAGTATTTGTGATTGAAATTGGTTAATTTCAGTTTTTGACTCAAGTGATTATCAGTCATTTTTTCAGTCTTAATCTGTCTTTCTAGTTTGTTAATTTGAATTAATCTAGTAAATGTTACATCGTTGTTGAACAAATAGTATTCATAAAAAGATACACTCACTTGTACACTAAGGTTTAATACAGAATCATGAAAATTATCAAAAGTCATTTCACCTCAAGATTGTGTGATAAAAAAAGATGATCACAATAATGTTCAAATTAATAGCATTTGTTTCTCATTTTTTCGCATTTACCTTCTATCTTGAGTAAATTGTGTTCTATCGCGTTACATAAACCTTTATTTTCCCATAGTGACAATTTTAATGACAATCTATATGAAACACGAAAAGCATCAAGAAGAGAGGATGATGATGAAGATAAAAAGAGATTTAATCAAACACTTTGTCTCAATCCATTTATTGTTTTGTTTTAGACTTTTATTCATCTTTGGAATGGTGAGTTTCCTTCGCCTTGGATCGATAATCTAGGCGCAAGACAAATCAAACAGTATCATCATCATCTCTTTTAATGGATCAATGTAACAAAAGGAATCTTTACCATAACATCATAATTCTTATGTACAGACAACTTATTACAATCAAAGCCTTTTCAACAAGACAATTTTTCTTTTGCTTTTATAATGATCTAGATTATCAAAAAAAGCCTCATAACTATGAGATTTTATATTTTGTCTGAAGTTTCGTTTTCGTCTCCTTGGTTCATTCCCTGTTGAAATAGCTTCTAATTGATGTAATCATATGATGATGAACAGTGTAAAAATGTAATAACAATTTTTAAATAATTTAACATCACTTGACCAGTTTTGTTAGTGATCCAAACCGTTTTCAACGCTAACCCAAGTTATCCTTGATTTAACCGAAGAAGGCCATTAGTTTGATTATGATTCCATCAATGATTCCAGTTTAAACACAACTTAATCAGCGACTAATACACCAGCTTTACAATTAAATCAGTGTCCAATCTCCGACAATGTTTAAACAGGTAGTCTTGTCTACAACAAGACCTAAAACTCCTTCATTTTACTCAACCTCAACACCACCAAGAGATGATTCCTCAGTCAATGATTCAGGCTCCAGTGATTTAACTTCGGGTGGTGGAAGAGGTGGCAGTGTTAGTCACGGTGGTGAAAATATGAGACACAATTGTGCTTCAATCAAACAGTATTTGGGTCGATCATTAAGCTGGGATATTGTTATTGAAGGTGAAACAGCAGAGAGTCGTTACAAGGAAATAAGACGTCGATCAAAAAGTGCAAAGACAAAAAAATCATTGAAAGGTGTGAATGGTGATAATTACGAGGATAACATTTGTGAATCAAATGTTGATATATCAGGTTCACGAATATCGGAAGAGCGAAGTTCACAAGAGGCCTCATCAAGTACAGGTGAAGATTTGAAAGAGAATCAATTGTCTGCTCGTGGATCATTAAACATTGAAGATATCGTGGATAATTATAGTTCAAACGTTAAAGATGAAAGTAATATTGATTTTCAATCAAATATCAACAATGTCAATAGTAACAGTAACAGTTTAACTGCTAAATGGTCATCACGCCATTATCCAAGTAAACATCAGCGAACCAAAGTATCACCCATCACAGATGATCATGTAAACAAAATAAACATTGAAAATGTTAATAATTGTGTTACTCCGTGTGAATATGAGAGTTATTTTAATACAAATGGTATTTACCAGCGAATCCATTCCCTGGTTTCAGCATTTAGACAACGTGCTCAAACAATAAAGAATCGTATAACTCGTCCATTACCATTACCACCAACTCCTAGTGAATCTCCAATTGATATAATCATAACGCCTAGGGAGTCACCACAGCCCAAAGGTTCATTTAGATTTGATTCAAATGATGACTTTAATCCGGATGATCACCATGATACAGAATCACTGGAACCTGTTAAAACATTTGGCCAAGAGTTGTATTACCGTTGGTCAAGGCAATCTTTAGGTGTTATTGATCCTCAAAGTTATTTTTACATAGCTTGGCTATTGATTGTTGTTATTGTTTACCTATACAATTGTTGGATTATATTTTTAAGATCAACTTTTCCCTACCAAACAGATACCAATCTGACTACCTGGTTAACATTAGATTATTTAGCTGATGCTGTCTATTTGCTGGACATTGTTTTCTTCAAGAATAGGTTAACTTTCGTTGAACGAGGCCAGATAATTAAAGATTTAACCCGCTGTCGTCGCCATTATTTATCAACTTTAACCTTTAAATTGGATATTGTCTCTTTGGCTCCATTTGATCTTCTTTACCTTCTTTTTGGTTGTAAGCCAATTTTCCGACTTCCAAGGCTTCTCAAATTTGAAACATTTTGTACATTTTTTGACACCATTGATGCCATAGCCAAGTGGCCTTACTTTTTCCGTGTTACTCGAACTTTAATCTATATGATGTTTCTCATTCATCTTAATGCTTGCGCCTATTATTATGTCTCATATCTGGAAGGATTTAATGCAAATGATTGGGTTTACCGGAATGAAGGCAATGCTTACATTCGGTGTTTTTATTTCGCTATACGAACAGCAACCTCAATCAGCGGGAAAATGCCCAAGCCAACAAATACAACTGAATATTTGTTTATGACTATTTCATGGTTACTGGGTATTTTTGTCTTTGCCTTTCTCATTGGACAGATACGTGACATTGTGGCCACAGCGACTCAAAATAAAGCCTCTTTTAGACAATTGTTGGATTCCATCGTAAGGTACATGGAAACACTTCATCTTCCTTGTGACTTGCAAACTCGAGTTCGTCTTTGGGTAACCCACACTTGGGAGCAACAGAAACTTTTTGACGAATCTTCAGTCCTTTATTCAATTCCAACCAAAATTCGAACGGATCTTGCAATGGACATTCACTATAGTATGTTAAGACAGGTTGATCTTTTCCAAGGATGTGAAAGAACCATTTTACGTGACATCGTGGTTAAGTTGAAACACGTCCTTTTCCTGCCCGGTGACTATGTTTGTCGAAAGGGTGAAATTGGTAATGAAATGTACATTGTAACCAAAGGAACGGTTCAAGTGTTGCGGGACGATGCGACTGAATCTGTAATATGTTCATTCGGTCCTGGAAGTGTTTTCGGTGAAGTCTCTGTCCTTGGTATTCCTGGTTGTTCACGCCGAACCGCATCTGTAAGATCGGTTGGTTTCTCCAATTTATTCAAACTAACAAAAGCTGATCTTTGGGATACTCTGCGAAACTATCCAGAAGCTCAAACAATACTGTTGAACAAGGCAAAACAAGTGATGAGGGAACGAGCACTTAGAGAAAGACTCGTTTCACCAGATACTTCGGTTGATGCAGAGGCCATCATCAAGACAACTGAACGAACACCAACTCCTAAGCTTTTTAAAATGGTTATGGAAGTGATTCCTCCCGAGTCTGCTTGTCATCAGATACTTAATAGAAGTCGCTCCATGTTTGATCGAAGTGAATCTCCTGTTTCTAAACCAATCGGTTCATCGTCGGGATTGAAGTATTTACCTTCTTGCAAGGTTAATCAGTCAAGTCGATCTTCCAGTAGTTCACCAAGTTTATCAGCAACCAACACTGAAATGCCCATCAACGAGGATTATGATGAGACAATCAAAAACAATCAGCAAGATGAATGTGAAACTCATAAAGATGAGATTACACAGTGAGGGTAATCTTTCATGCAACATCAGACGATGAAAGAAAATCAATGCACAAATGATTGAAAACAATTAAAACAAACTCAAATAGGATTTATTTCAATTTATTCAAGTCTATGAATCTTTTTAATTGTATCTAAGGTGTAAAAACATGAGTTTTGAAGAAAACAAATGAGCTGTAATTTGAATAAATTTAATTCAGTTTTGCACATTTTCTTTCCAATCTCACAGATGAGAGAACAAAATTTTTATTAAATTATAAAAAACAATTACTTAACTATTGATGAGACATATTGATACATATTTATAATCATTCATTCTTCAACATCTTCCTCGTTTGTTTGACAAATATCACCATCGGAATCAGACTCGTCAATTGTCCTGTCACTTTGATCGTCGCTTTCTTTCAAGTCGTCATTTACATTTTCAAGTTGCTCTGAAAAACTGTCATCATTTTCATCGTGTGTGCCTTGATTCTCATCGATATCCAATGTTGACTTTTGAAAATAAAACAATAGAAGACAAAATTAAACAAAATTCAATCAATTTCGAGAAAATTATCAACTTACTGTTGAATTAGAAAGTTTTGAAGCTTCATTTGCTTCATTTTGGCAAATCTGAAAGTAATTTAAATGATTAATTTTATTTATGAATAACGAATAATTTTATGGAGCTATTTTACCTCACAATCGGCACACTGTGAATCGCAATCTTGGCAGCTGCCTGTACATTGAAGCTCTAATAAATAATCACGTAATTCAAGCATATCACCGAGTAAAACTCTATAGGCCGAAGAAACTGGAAATTAAAACAAATAGAAGATAAATATCAAGAATTAGATTGAAATTTGATTCAAGTCAACTCAATTACCATCGTCTTCCGTTTCTGGCGCCTTTTTTTCTTCTGGGTCGAGCTTCTGTTTACATCGTACATAATTTAATGCCAATCCTTTCAAGCATTCCCCTTGCTCGTGATTATATTCATTGAAAGACGCTTTTCCTTTTTTTTCTTTGGCTTTAGAATCTTGATCAGAATTTTTGACCAACTGTCTTTGATTGTATTCCTCCATCATGTCTATGGAGTTATCTGCACTCATGTACTACAAAAGAGGAAAATAATGTAATCAGAGTTTTTTAGTTAAATAAGTGGCGTTAATACTTTAAAAATGGTATAGATGAATAAAAGTATTATTCCAACTGTGTAAACTGTCATGATTATGCCAACTGAAGCACCACTGACTGAGCTTTGCTCATTACTGTGATAACGCGTGTTTGGTCCATTAAAATCTGGCTGTAAAAACAAAAACAGAAAAGCTTCTTTAATAAAATTTCAATTGGTGAAGCAATTTGAGTAATTACATGTACCTGATGGTTGTTGGCCGTCGTTCCAGTTGCTTTCATTCTTGGATGAATTTTGGCTTTCATATTTGCATCTGAAATGAAGATGTGACCAGTAAAGATCATTGAGTTCGTAAGCTATCATATTATTAAATGAAAACCTAATTACCTGGGTTATTTTCATGAAATCCTCCTTGCATCATTGGATAAAAAACTTTGGGCCAGAGAAGCGACAAGCACCCAACGACGGTACCCAGAATCATGATACTTTTACCATTACTGAGATGATTTACTTTAGACATTTTTGTTACAAAATGTCAACAAAAACAAGACAAGTACTGTTGAGCGTTTGACCAGAATATTAAATCACACAAATGGTCTAGTTTTCATTGGTAGAAATTGAATAATCTCAGCTTTTCATCATTTATAACGAAAAATCGAGCTATACCCTTTACATTTAAATCAGTAATTTGCAAAAAACAAATGCTATTTTCATATGCATTGAAAAAAATCAGTAGATATCAAATAAAATAGCAAAAATCTTCCCTAGAAATCAGTTGAAATGTTCAAAACAAAATCGATAATCAACAAATAATTCCACCAGATGGAGGTAAAACCATTTTAGCGGCTCTTTCAACTCTTTGGTGGCGCCTTAAAAGCTGCCTTGTTAGTAAGGCAGCTTTACATTGTAAAGCTTACAATTTGTAAGCCACAAACAAATAAACATTTTGAAAACTTGCTTTTAAAGATCGCTAATTTAATTAGCAATTATGTAAGAAGTAATAAATTATCTCTGTACAATGTTTGAATTGTCTGGTGCGAGATTAATAATTATTTTGATCTCACTGCTACAATAAATCAAATCTAAATTGGATAAGTTAAACATAATGCTGCACCAATCTCAAACATTTGAACAATAAGCATTTGCTATTTGTTGATTTTTGTTAATCAATTGACAATTTGAGAGAAATCAGTAGACAATGAAAAAATGAGAAAAATTATGGTGACCTGAAAACAGATAAAACATGATAGATTAAAAGAGAAACCAATTTTATTCGCTAATTCATGTAAGATTTGCATGTTAACTTATTAACAATCAATAATGAAAACAGTTTTTTAGACAGTTGGTGATCTGATATGTTTTTGTTAAAAGGCAGCCAAAGGTTTACTTGTACCCGATAAGATTACCTGCACATAGCCAGTTCATATGTACTGAAGAGATTGCTAAGATAGCTAAGAAACTGGTCAGTCTAGATATTCCTCAGCAATAAAGGCAAAAGTAACCTTCAAAAGTTGTCTTTAAGTTCCTCTTTTCTCCTTCGGTTTAAGTGAACCAAGTTACGAGTTTATCCGCCCTTTCAACTGCTTTTCCTTCCGTGAGTTGTTCATTTCTATGTTCATTTACAGTCACAAACTGTAAAGCAGTGCATTCAATTTTTGATTCCATAATCAACAGTAATTATGAAGTCAACTCTAGTATTTTTGTTTATTGTTTTTTGTACCTTTGCTTCACTGTCAGAATGTCGATACAGTTCCAGACATCACTCGCATGTAGAGCATCGAGCTAGATTCAATGGATGGAACTTGGACAGAGAAGAAAGAGAGAAACCATCCCATGATAGGCCATCTAATGATAACTCAACCTCATACCGACCAGCTCCAGATGCACCTGTTGTACACACTTCTTGGGGAACCTTTGAAGGTACCATTGAGACACATTCAGGTGTTAATGTTTCTACCTTTTATGGTATTCCTTTTGCTGAGCCACCGGTTGGAAAACTTCGATTTCGTCTTCCACTCAAACTAAGGGGTCGATATCAAGGAATATACAATGCCACTGCTCCAAGGGCAGCCTGTGTTCATTCACTTGAAAACGAAAAGACCATTGAAAAAACAAGTGAAGATTGTTTGTTTCTAAACATCTGGATTCCAAGAGAAAATGATTATGAGGATGATCGATGGTCAAGAAGAAACTCTGATCATAAGTGGGGTCGACGTAACTCATATTCAAAATCAAAACCACGTAGTCGAAGTAGCCGAGGCTTACCTGTTCTCTTCTACATTTATGGGTCACAATTCAAGAAATATTCAGCTTCATATCCATCAAGTCGAGGAGGTGTAACTGCAGCCCAAGGTAACATGATCTTTGTCAGTCCAAACTACCGTCTAGGTTCACTAGGATTTGCCTATGGAAATGATCACCGTATGCCAGGAAATCAGGCCGTTTATGATGTGATTACAGCAATGGAATGGGTTCGAGATAATATTGCCGATTTTGGTGGAGATCCTGATCGTATAACACTTTCAGGTTCAAGTGCCGGTTCCATTATTGCTGGAATCCTCGCCGTTTCACCAAATGTTAACCCTTTCCTTTTTGACCAAGTATTGTTAATGTCTGCTGTTCCTATTAGACCAACATCAATCGAGTCTACCGATGTTGCCTTGAACAAAACCAAAGCATTGGCTGCCAAATTAGGTTGTGGAGAGTTTCCAAATGAATTATTTGGATTGACCGTTGATCAAATTGAATGCCTTCAGAATGTCAATGCATCGGATTTCATTGCAATTGACACAACGGAAGAGTTCACAATCATGGGAAGCACTCCAGATTATGCTTTTATGCCAGTTTATGGAGATTCGTTACTTCCCTCTCCACCTGATTATTACCTTTCTAGGAATCAAATTCGTCGTCACGTAAAATTCATGGTCGGTTCAGATAGGAATGATGATATTGAAACTAAAAACTATGAGCCAGCTTCACGAGAAGATGCAGAAAAGTATTTGGACAATTATTTGATAAATGCCATTAAACCCAAAAGCAACATTTCAGATGAACTTGATTATCTTTATGATTACTATTTTGACGATGTTGCTGACAATGACACTTATGGAATCAAGGAACGAATGGACCAACTTGTTGGTGACTATATCTTCCAATGTCCACTTCTATTGTTTGCAGAGAGATGGGCAAATGTCAACCCAGTCCATTACTACTACAACAATTATACTGCTGATCGTTATATCAACTCAACTGAAGTACAATTTCAACATGGTCCAGTTCATGGACAGGCCAACTTCATGTTCCTTGGACGACCTTTTGGAAATGAACAGGAATTGTATTCTGACCAGGATCGATTAGTAAGCCACAGAATGATTAAGATTCTCTCAGAGTTTGTTACTTCAGGTGAAGTAGCTTGGCCACCACTCCTAGTATCAAGAGGTAAAACTTTACCTCTTGAATGGATCATTGATGAAGATGTCAATACGCATAACGTCAAAGTTAGCCCTAAGCTTAAAATTTGCCATTTTTGGGCTAAAATGTTCAACGTATTTCAATTTTAATATTAATTCAATAAAAATTTGATTCGTTTAATGCGATAAAACTTAAGCGTAATTTTGTTATTTACATATTTAGGCTTTCAAATGAACTTAAATTATAAAGGCTGTCCCAAAAAGCAAGGTAGAAGAGATCCAAAAACAAATTGAATTTCAGGTGTATACTCACTGTTTGAAGTCTTTGAACATCATAAACAAAGAAACAACTCTTGAAGCTCCTCTTTGATTGAAAACCACTAAAAATCTTAACTTTTTTTACCATTTTTTAGTTTCTTTGCATGAATTTTACCCTTTGTCGCCCTCCAGTGAGTATATGCCTTAAACTCAATTTGCCTTATGAATCAGAGTTATACTCTTTGTTTTGAATGTCTCTTGTACCTTACTCTTTGGGTTAAACCACATAAAATCTTAAAATTAGATTATTAGTCCAGTTGAACCAGTATGAAACTAAAAATTACCACTGTCAACCTTAGTCAAGGTTGTCTTGAGTCCAAACCAGTTTCTTTCCCGATTTCGTTGATTAAATTTCAAGTTTCTTTACATGGCTGAAAATATCAGTTACAACAGTATACAAGTTATTATTCACGTTAAACAGTTTCATGTTACATTATTTCGGTGATGTCCATTTCTAGTCAACTATTCTGTTTTATCATATTGATATGTTTTCCTATCTCAACGATTTCATACAGAACTGATTCAAATAACAAACGAAATGGTCAACTGGTAGAACTTGAAAATGGATTGATTCAAGGCAAACTTGAAAAAGTGCTCGATACTCATGTTGAAAGTTATCTTGGTATTCCGTATGCTAAACCTCCTTTGAATGAACTGCGATTCCGTAAGCCACAACCATTCAATTCCAATTATTCTAATGATGTTTACAATGCAACTTATTTCCGCTCTGCTTGCATGCAAAAGTACGGAGATGAAGCTATCGAGAATCTTGGTGGAGTAGACTTTAGTGAGGATTGTCTTCACATAAATATTTGGGTTCCGCACGATAAATTCGTCCATTCACCATTGAAACCAGTGTTGTTTTATATTTTTGCTTCAAGTTTCCGACAAAGTTCACCAGCAAAACCCTCTAATGGTGGACAATTTTTATCAGCAGTTGGTGACATAATTGTAGTTGAGCCAAATTATCGAATAGGATTTTTAGGTTTTGCTTGTTGCGGTGAAAATTTTGACGATATGCCTGGTAACTTGGGATTTCATGATATTATAATGGCACTAAAATGGGTACGTAACAACATACGGAGCTTTGGAGGAGATCCTGAAGCTATAACGATTTCTGGTGCATCAGCTGGAGCCATGTTAGCAATGATGCTAGCTCAAACACCAGAAGTACCCCAATCATGGTTTAACAATATATTCATAATGAGTGGTATTCCAGCCAATGGAGTTTTGGATTCAATCGATGTTGGTATTGAAAAAACTCAATTTATTCTTAAACAAGTTGGTTGCTCAAACTCTATTGGTAATTATTCTCATTCATTCTTAACGGAAGATGAAATTGAATGTTTACGATCAGCCAACTTAACGGCCATTTTAGAGTTACAAGACGCTGAACAAACTGTTTTGATAGGCGCTAGCATCAAGCATGGAATGATTCCTGTTTACGGTGATCAACTCTTACCTGAATCCCCAGAGTTGTCATTGTCTTCCAAGAAATTTCCCCCTTCTCATAAATCTTTTGTTATTGGCAATGTTCAACAAGAAACAAGCTGGGAAACTGACTATTGGCCTGTAAACAAGTCGGAAGCCATAGACTTTTTGATGACGAGATTAAAATCAATGTTGAAAACAAACAATCGTCAAACATTAGATAAATTAAAGAAAATGATTTATAATTATTTAGGCGATGTAGACGAAAATGATCGATTCAAAATACGAGGAGCCATGAATAGATTTTGCTCCGATTGGTCAATGAAGTGCCCATCACTTTATTTTGCTGAAAAATTGGCAATCAAAAAAAACATTGTTCATCTTTACATTTTTAATTATGTATCCAAAGTATACACCAGAGCTGATGGAACCAGTGAACGACCATTTGGTTCACGACATGGTGATGACACATTGCTTATCTTTGGCCAGCCTTTCAGAGATCCATATAATTACAATCACCAAGATCGATTAATGAGCAAAAAATTGATGAAATTATACACCGATTTCGTCAAGAATCGTAGACTTCCTTGGCCTCCAGTATTAACCGATGGGAAAAGAGTAGAGCCACTTTACTGGAAAATATCAGGCTCGTTAGATTCGATGGATATAGATGTTGTTCGTATGACAAAACAATGTGAGGAGTTGAACGAATTGAGGAATCATGAATTCTACGATAATCAATCTGTTGATAGTTTCGAGGATGGATACAGATGGAAGAAGAAATGAAACAAATCTGTATTTTCTTTCTCTTTAATCTCAGGTAATATTGAATATTGTTATACTTTGATAGTTGAAACAAAAATAAAACATTTAACGATATCAATCAACATCAAGAATTTCCCCTTTCATAATTATCAACTGGAAATTTCAATAAGAGGTAACAGTTGCCCAGCTCTTTTTCTGACAATTGTAACATTCTTTAAATTATCAGCTCTAGATGCTCCAATATTTATCAACATGATAGGTAATGATTTCTCTGATGCAGCAATGATATAGCGATATGCAGAATAGACCTGCAAAGATGATCCTATGACAAGAAGGGCATCACATTTGTCCATTTTCTGATAGATGTACTCAACTCTGTCTTTTGGGACAGTGTCACCAAAAAAAATAATATCAGGTTTTAAAATGCCTAAACACTTGGGACAACGAGGAACTTTGAAATTTTCCACGAAACGAGCATCTAGATCGACATCTCCATCAGGCCTTACAGTTCTTAAATCATCAAGTTTCACGTCAACCAACTGTGGGTTATACTGATGGAGTACCTCCTGAAATATGTGTCGACTTATAGTAAAATCGCATTGGGAGTTACGACTATTCAAACATTTAACAGTAAACCCAGATCCATGAAGTTCTGTAACTTTCAACGAACCTGCTTTCTGATGAAGCTGGTCAACATTTTGTGTAACAATCCACTTGATCTTTTCTTGTCTTTCCCATTTTGACAAAATATAATGAGCATTGTTTGGACGGATCTTGGAAAAATTATCAAAACCAATAAAGTTTCTAGCCCAGTAACGAAGACGAACAGCTTGGCTGGATAAAAATTCTTGATATTGTATGGGCTTATGATTATTTCTGGCATAGAGACCAACTTTTTCTGAACGATAATCAGGGACACCACTTTCAGTAGATATGCCAGCTCCAGTAATCACAATAATATTTGAATGACTTTTCATAAACTGAGTCAGCAGTCTAATATCATCAGGTTCCACCGGACTGTGCTCAGGAACAAAATTAGGATTGTAAGATGGTTCAAAGGAGCCAATTAAGCTACTTAATCTTCTAGAGGTAATTCTAGATAGATGAGTAGATAAGTTCCAACAGCCTGGTGACATCCTTGATTCCAAATATCATTCACATAAACTGATACATTTAGAAACCGTATTTTAAACAGTGCATATTAGTTGGCTAATCTCATTCATGATAAACCGAATGAAATCAATTTTAAAATCTTAAAACATTACATAGATTCACTGAGATAACACAGAAAAAGTAAAATCATAGATCCATTGAAAATTGTTGGTAAACAATTAGCATTAAAGTTTCCAATACATCTCCATCAGCTGTTTTGAGAATCAACCAGCAAAAGTCGTAAGGCGCCAAATACGCACATTAATAATCTTTTCAAAATTTGTTATTTTTAATTTAACGCCGATTCCCATTGAAAAAGCTCAAATTCAATATGAAGTGATACTTGAATAGGTATAAAAATAAAAAACATGTAAAAATTAAACAAATAACCCAATAATTTGAAGGAATTGCAATTCCTTTGATCAAAAAAATCACGGAAACAAATGTGAATTAACACATCCATTTCATGATTTCAATATAAAGGATTGCTGTAAAATGTTCAAAATATGAACCCCAATAAATACTAACGAATTTAGTGATTTTCTCTAGAAACATGGCGATTCCGAGTTATCGAAAGCTTTAACCAGACCTAGCAATTGGAAGCATAACATCCACATGGACTAAAAATATTACAAAATGATATTTTATGGTTCAGCAAAATACAGTAAACCCTCTCAAATTGTCCCAGAGTCATGGTAACCGAGTAAACAATTGCTTTTAATTCAGTTTTTTTAATTAGGAAAATTTTGAGAGGACTCTTAATTACTATTTAATACTGTTCAATACAGGAATTATCAAATTAGAAATCAAAAACACCTAAATTAAATAATAATTAAATTTTAAAATTTAATTAAATTCGTAAAAGGGCTATTTTGCCTAATTATTATAGGAAAATAGCCAAGATGCTAATCCCACGACGTGACAATTTGAGAGGGTTTACTGTAGTTGAAAACAATACTAATCTTGCATCTTGACTTTCAATATTTCATTTCAGAGCTTTCCAATTAACCTTTCTACAAAATACATTGTGAATTTGCCAAATCATCAATGTGAAAAGTGTCATGCAAGCTTGAAAAAGATAACTCTGACAATTAAACTCGTTTTAACCATCAACGGTAGACAGCAATTATGGACGCAATCTAGGTGTTATTAAAGAGCTGAAGATCTCTGATTTTCTTGAATTTTCATACAAGCGATTTTAAGAAGACACATTTACTCATTGATCAATGCAAACAAATTACGTACAAGGAAGATGCTGTTTCATTGACTAATCTTGGTGACTCAGAACCATAAAATTATACAAGATTAACTCAATTAATCTCAACAATAAACTTTTGAATATCATCAAAGTACTCCAGGTTTGCTTGATATTACGGTCACATCTTAATTTTAGCCAGATACTTGCGTCAATAAGTAATAAATGATTAATTAGTGAACAGATTTAGTGAAATAACCTAATAACAATTGTAGTTCAGTTGAGTAATTTTATGTTTTCCTGACTTTTCATTCTTGCCTGATAAAAATCAGTTTTCTGATTAAATTTGAAGGTTGTAATATACCATCAATAACTTTTAATGTCCCACTAGGCTCATAAGTGAATAATCATATGCACCTAACTCCTACACTGATTAGTATCACAATTGATTGGTAATTGAAGACCTTAGGTGAGGTTTGATAAATTTTACCACGAAAAGAGTGAATGTTGGTGTGGATAGTTGGATGTCTATCATTAAATTGAGACCAATGCAGTTTAATATCAGAAATTCATCGAGATGACTAAATATCAAATTGCCTTAGTTGTATCATCTCGTTTTGTTTTATCAAACCTCTCACGATTTAGTAAACAATAAGAGAGTAACATTCATTGAGAACGTGCAACCAGTTATAATTGTATAAGTTGTACTTCTTAAAGTACAACTCATACAATTATAACTGGCAAAAATTGACTATTTGAATTGTGCAGTTAATTTACAAACTACAATCTGGTGTTTCAAGATTATTTTAGGTTAATTAATCCTAGTATCTGGTTTCCGTTGATCAGTGAATAATTATGTTTTTAGGTTATCGAAGGTTGTTGCTCAATTGGGCTCAATCAATTTGAAGGCAACCATAGATTAAAAAGAGATAAATCATTGTGCTTCTAATCCAATAATCGAAATGAAAGTGGTTGAAGCCAGAATTTTTCATGGTTAAACTTGCAGTTGGCTCTAACTGTGAAATTATAAATAGTTTAAGGTTGCTGTTGTAACAGCTTCTGACATTCATCTCTACAGCAGATGTTTACTGTCATCAAGAATGTCGATTATTTTGATCATCTGCATTCATTTATATTGAAATCATTAGCCGATTTTCATCTTTAATCCAATTTGTTCAGTCAGCACTTTCAACAAAAATTCGGGAAAATGCCTTCCTTATCACCATGTGATTATCATTTGTGAATGTTATAAAATATAGTCACACACGATCTGGAAATCAATCATTTCTTCAATCATTACTTGTTATCATAACACGAGAGAATATTTCAAGTGGGAAAAAGAGTTGTCAGGATCAAGGTTATATCAACGTCAACAATTTTGATGTGACGTCACAAAAGATTATCAGCAGGAATCCGTTTCCATGAAAGAGTAAAACTCTTTGGTTTCCAAAGATTACTCTTTGTTGGTTTCCATCAACTTTTTGAATTAAAATCTTTGACATGCTCATTGAGAAAACAAAAGCACATGGTTTCTTCAACAAAGTATTAGTTTATCAACTCAGTAAAACTGAGTCAGTATTACTTTAGTATTTCATTTGTCAGATTGGATATTTGTTTGTGTTATTAATTTTTCAATGATTGAAGTTAGTGAAAATACATCAAATAGTGGTGATGCTGGTGCATACTCAGAACAACGAAGCATTCTTCTACAAGTTGCTGAAAGTACCTACAGATTTGTTTTGGGATCGATTGCTGGTGCCGCTGGTGCCACTGTTGTTTATCCAATAGATCTTGTGAAAACACGGATGCAAAACCAGCGAACTGGTTTAAAAGGAAAAGTTGCAGATGTTATGTATAAAAATAGTTTCGATTGTTTCAGAAAAGTTATTACTCGGGAAGGTATATTTGGTTTGTACAGAGGATTAGCTCCACAATTGGTTGGTGTTTGTCCGGAAAAGGCCATTAAATTAACTGTTAATGATTTCGTTCGTGATAGATTAACTGAACATACGGGTAAAATAACTTTGCAATCTGAAATATTTGCAGGCTGTTGTGTAAGTTTTTACAAAAATTTATCACCACAATTCTGATGTTAGTTATTTTATATTTAACTAACCTATTCAACTTTGAATACATTTTTGGCTTCTCATCAATTAACAATTTTTTTCTGATATACTTTTTTTTCTATCTGATTTTATATTTCAAGGCTGGAGCTTCGCAAGTTATGTTCACAAATCCATTAGAGATTGTAAAAATTCGTCTACAGACTGCCGGTGAGGTATCAACTAACAATAAACTTGGTGCTGGAGCCGTAATTAGAGAACTTGGATTAAGAAATCTGTACAAAGTAAGGTTAAATTTATCTTGAAGGATACGAGCTACATTGAAGATGATGTCTTCGAAATATGAGGCATTTTCACATCGCACCATATTTACAAAGACACACACACTGTATACATCATCATATCTCCATTGATGTTAATTTAGCAAGAAGGTCTTTTACTGGCAATGATAAAGCCAATATTAGCTTATGCTCCTGACTCAACAAAGTAAACAATTTTATTTACTCTTTCTGATAAACTTTTAGTCAATGAAAGTCAGAAAAAAACAATATCATTCAATGTAGAATTAAAAGTAGCATGATTCAGCTGTTACTTTATTTTCTCACCTTTCTAAAAATTTTCAGATTACTAATTTTCTATTACTTTTGAACTTTTCAGGGAGCATCTGCCTGTTTTCTCAGAGATATACCATTTTCGGGTATTTATTTCCCAGTTTATGCTCATTGCAAGCTTCATTTCGCCGGGGAAAATGGACACAATTCACCGGGATCCTTACTCGTGTCAGCAGTTATAGCAGGTATGCGACGAGTTTAGATAATCTTTAAGGATTAGTTACAGTTTCTTTTAAATTGTCTCAATCGAGTCTAATCATGTTCATCTTATTTTTTAATAACTGGTTCTTAGGTGTACCGGCTGCATATTTAGTTACTCCCGCTGATGTGATAAAGACAAGACTTCAAGTATCTGCTCGTAGTGGTCAAACAACTTACAGTGGATTACTTGATGCTACTCAGAAAATCATGAGGGAAGAAGGATTCACTGCTTTTTGGAAGGGTGGTATTGCTCGAGTATTTCGAAGTGCCCCTCAATTCGGGTTCACTCTTTTAACTTATGAAATTCTTCAAAGATTTTTTTACGTTGATTTTTCTGGTCGCCGTCCAAATGATAAACAAGCAAAAGCTTCAATCCAAGCCAACAATGAAAGTGTGGCCTTACCGTTGGGGGTTGCTAAATATTGATTGTCAACTCTACTTAACTCAATCGCAAGTAGCTTACACTCCATGCAACTTCTCAGCCTTGGCATTGGATGATGATCAGAAAGTAATATTTATAACTATTATTATTATTAACATTATTATACCATATTAAATATCAACCTTTCGCTTAACACTTTTAACAGAAGTATGATTCTTATTTAACAAATTTTTAATGCAAAGTTACCGTGTGCTGAAGCTAAATCGATTAACATGTCAATATGGCTATTTATAAATTGGTTACATCGAATTGAAACGCCTTGTTTAACATAAAAATGTAATTGGAAAAGAAATGGACCAAAAAAAGACTAAAAGAGTTGAAAGAAAGAGCTAACCTAAACAAATAAGTTATTATTAAGCATGTAATAGGAAATCCCAAATTTGATAATCAATATTAGTTATCTTGAAATAGTTGTTTATTAATATAAATGAAAATCAAGAGACTCCATTTTATTAATCAAATGATTATCTGTTATGTTAGGTTGACCTTGCTTCTAAAATTTCTCCTGCTATCGATTGGATTACAAAGACATCACATGATTTTTACGCCATTTGGATTTTGAGAAGCTAAATAACATTTCAATTTATTTAACGAGATTTGGTGTTTACGAGGGGAAGATTTACTTTTGATTTCAATCTTTCAATATTGTCATCTGTCATCAACAACAATAACATCTACATCATCTCTACATCAGTATGAAAAACATGAGACTCATGTGTAGTTTACATAATTATTTAATCATCATCATCACCTTTGCATCTCTTTCAACAATAGTGTCAAATCAGGCAATAAGTGGTAAGTTATGCTTTGATATACTTCCAACACTGTAATTTAATATTAATAACAATTTTTTTATTTCTTTATTCAAATCTTAATTTTTTCTTATTTTTTCCTTGCAATTTGATTTATAGGAAAGCTGATTAAAGACATATCCCAGCGAGTTAAAAAACTGTTAGATGGTAACTTAGATGAGAAAGGTGTTCTCAATGTAAACAAATGGTTCAATGACAATCTTCAGGATCCTTATTATATTCAAACAATCAACATTTCAGAGTCCGGAGCTTTAACATCATATAAGGGATACTTTCGAAAGATGGAATTAACTGGACTAAAGTCATTCTATATTGAATCAATTGAATTAAATGTAGGCTCACTAGATTTTAATGTTACCGCTCGTATACCAAATCTTTTGTTGACCGGGCAATACAAATTGAAGGGTAAAATTGCTGTTCTCCCTGTTTCTGGTAATGGTTCATTTTGGATGAATTTTACTAATGTTTTGGTGACTTGTGTAACAAATTTCAATATCAACAATGGTGTTATTAAGGCTACAGAGGTTAATTTAGATACCATTCCTGGGGAAATTAACTTACATTTTGATGACTTGTTTGGTGGTGGAGCAGCATCTTCATTTTCAAATACTATTCTCAACGTATTAAGTCACAGTTTATTTGATGGAATTAAATCAAACACTTTACCGAATATTGAGAAACAAATGAAAACTCGCATCAATGATCGCTTGAAAATAATTAATATCAGTCGATTTTCACCAACATCTGATTCATTGGTCGACGGTTGGATTGGCAAAGTGCAAGCTATGATTAAAGAACGAGGTTATGATCCATACTTTTTGGTTAATGATACAAAAACTTTCTCTGCCAATTTAATCGGATCTCAATTAAGTGGACAATTATTTAATGGAACGCTCAATGGTTTATCAACATTGACTCGGACTGGACCTATTAAGGCTATCTATGTAAATGACTCGTTGCTTTTGGAAATTACTATGGGTTTGGAACGTATGACCAGTACATTTGATTGGTCATTGTCTATCGGTACATTTTTACACCGAAGTGGGTTATTAACATTCAACCTGACTAACCTTTCAACGTTCACTCGTTTGATTCAACCTTTACAAAGAGGAGCCAAAATGGAATTAGAAAGTTTCTCGATTGTTGATCTTGGTCATCTTTGGTTAGATGTTGATGGTCTTGGATCTGGTGATTATATTTTAGAAATAATCACAAATTTAGCTTTGAATAGTTTCAAGTCTTCCATTGGAGATATTGTGGCTCAACCAGTTCACGCTGTTATGAGTGAAACATTATCCCAACAAAAAATAACATTTCTTAGCTAAATATTTATGTAAACGATGTAATATAGTTTATTATAATTCAATAGTTTTCATGAATAAAAATCAAAAATCATTCGCCATTTTAACATACGTTTTAACTAACATAACTATTAATATTACTTTTGTAAACACACACGACAATATATTTACGTTTTTTCATGCTTGCTTGTTTGATGTGAAAAAGTTAGGAGCTGCCATCACATATGTGAACACGAGTGTAGCTAAATTTGGTACAATACTAGGAGTAATCAGATAGATTCCCATAAATTTGATTCCACAAGAACGTTGGTTTAATAAATCCATGAAAAGTAATACCTATTGGAAATAAAATTAAAAATATTAAAAGTTGTTGATTGAAAATGGTTGCAGATTTACCTCTGATTTGAAAGTGTTGCTTCTCTCAACCAAAGTTGATAAATAGAGATCATCACGGGATTGGCCAGGATATGAATAAAAGCCGATCAAACATGGAAAAAATAATAACAGGAAAATGGAGAATTGGATGATAAGAAGAATGTTGCAGATTTTGGAAGTCAGATCAAGATTAGTGTAAGCTAAATTGTATAAAATTAAAATAGTATTAGGAGCAGTTGTTATACAGCAAATTGTAACAAATCGCCTGAAAGTTAAATCACATAATTCACCGCATCGAGCCAAATCATAATGTTGATGACGAAGGCGATAAATAGTCAGGTCAGATGCATAGGCATCTTTAATTATCTCAATGGTCCGCCGATGAATATAACAATGACCAATTTTAATGAAAGCTCCGCAAATGTAGAAACCTCGGAAAATGTTGACAAATATTAAATTGCTATAAAGTTCAATCAATTTAAGACCAATGAAATAATATTTATATGATTTACTTGCAGCTTCAAGATGAGATAGATATTCAAAAGTGCCAGAAACAATGGAAATAACTGTGCCAGTCATGAATAAAGTGATTGAAATGATATTAGCAAATCTCAGTAATTTCATAAGTTCCTTGATAATATCAGGTTCCTTCGAGAGTGGTAATTGTGTCCAAATTGTGTCAAATGATTCAATAAATTGGGCAGATGGATAGACTAAGGTTTCCAAAACAATGAATAAAAGCCAAACCTCAGTGATGACATATGAAATGACGGAAGAGTCTAATGATTTTGAATTTAAATTTGAAATAATTTCAAGAACAAATAATGTCGTTTTGATTACGAATGAAGCGATTGCCAAAAATGAATAAAAATAATGAAACCAACGATTCTTAAATTTCCAGCGATTGATGAAAAAACTGTCTACAATTGAATTATAAATGGATGTTGTTAAACTTTCCATCATTGGATTATGTGAAACATTCAATTCAGATAAACTATACACATCTTTAATAGTCGTCATTGTCAAGTAACTCGGTGAACAAAGGTAGTTAAATGAAAACCGATTGTCCAAAACTCAAGAATTAAAGGTTAAATCTTTTAGCTTAATTTGTCTATTTATTGATAGTTTTCTGATAATATTTAGACAACTGCAAAAATATACTAATCGATTAAGTAAATTCAATGGACATTTTGAACGATCAATAAATGTTTAATAATTTTTGTCTTGAGTAAAAATTGAAATGTCTCTCGAGCTAAACCATTGTTATACTCACATAATAAATAACTTTTCAATTCTATCAAATCGTGTCAATATTTTCGTAAATTTATCTACAAGAAGGGATAATATTTTGGGGAAGTTCATGATAATATTGACTGGTCTTTGGGATAAAAGAACCTTTTGATTGTATTGTTAGAACCTTACAATAGGAAATTTCAATATTTCTAGAATAAAGAAAATTATTTACCAACTACTGTCGTGCTAACAAGAATTGATTTTGGCGAGATGTTTGTTTGAAATGATAAAGTTTAATTGTGAAAAATGAGTACTGCGTTAGACAGAAGTTAAATTAAGAATCGTCATTTTAACATAGACATTAATATTGAATTGTTTACTGATTTATCTTTACATTCAAATTATTAATAAATTTGAAATGACTACTGATAGATTATATTACCAATCAGCAACAATCACCTTATTTCAATCGTTAAAAATGTTTGGTGTTTCACCGTGAGAAATGGTCTCGTTATGGTCTTCTTTATCGTCTGGTTCCTCCATGTTTAACAAATTTGGATCTTGGTCGTTATCTATACACGGATTTTTCAAGCTTGTATAGTTATGATCTCCACAAGCTACCGAATGACTCATAACGTCTAAATTGCTTTCTGAGTCTATAATGGCATCTTGAATTGCTACGGATGGTGAATCGACAAGTTCTGGTAAGTCTTTTTGCAATCTTATACTATCAGCATCGAAATAAGAGTCTTCACATTTAATTGTTAAATCAACATCAACCAGCTCAGAATTAGGTAATTCAACTTCAACAGGAATTTGTTCGTGACTATTGGTTTCAATCTCATCAAGGCAAGGAACGATCTCTGAAGGTGGAGTAACACTTGAAATGGACGCTTCAAATGATATATTATTCAAATATTCTGCAATGTTTCGTCTTGTTCCTTCCACACTTAAATTTGTCTCAGTTGCACATTGTATTGAATTTTTTACATTAACAGCTTCAGGGGGTTTGCACGTATTATTTCCAATCAATGATGAATTTACATTTTGAGATATTTTCAGAGATGAGGACGATGAAGATGGCGATGATGGAGATGAAAGGGATGATGGAGGTGTACTGGCTGATTCCTCATCACGATTGCGAACTAACAACTCTTTGGGTTGATTAAGATTATTTCCAACGTTCAAGCTAATAGTCTATTCCACCAATCATGAATAATTGAAACAAGAAAGACATCGAAAGTGGAGAAGGAAAAGAAAGAAAAAATCATTAGTTCAAGAAACAAGTAGGTCTTTTTAGATTGAACCTGGCAAACAAATTTTGAATAAAAAAAATATATAAATAATGTGTATATGGGCGAGTAGTTTCATTCAACATGAACATATGGTTGTTATTGCTCATTCAAAATAAGAATAAACAATAAAACATTTGCCATTTTCAAACTGATAACACTGAGGAAATGTTTATTTCTGTCAGCAAAAAGTGAAAACGCAATTTACCTGATCGTCCTGTAATTGTACTGCAAGTATTCCTAAATTTCTAAGGTTTACATCTCCACATAGAGCTAGTTGTTTTAAACGTTGAGCGGCCTCCAAAGATATGTTGAATGTTATTCTAACCCCGTTCCAAGGCATTTCTTGACAGGTAGTTCACACCTGAGTCAAGAAAACCACAATTTTTAACGTTAGAGGTTGGTAGCCGTTAAAAAGCTACAGAGATCACACATGACACAAAAGACACAAATGAGCATAAAAAAATCGTAAAATATTTAAATATAAGTGATTTAAACAATGAATAAAATTTATTTTTGTTAAACTGAAAACACAGATTCAATCATTTGCCTAGAGTGTAAACTATAAGCTCTCAATGGGTAAATCTGCAAGAGGTCGCTAGAAAAGCTCTTTCCTTGACTCTTTCGCAAAGTTTGTCTTTCCTTTTTTACTGTCTATTTCAAATTACTCTTCGATACTTACTCGATAGTATCGACATTTGTTTTGTTTAGTAAATTGTTTTTATTTTTATTAAAATTTGTAATAAATTGGTCTATTAAGATTTAATGGAAGGTTGAAAGGTTACCAATTTAACCACAAGCACTTAGCCTTACGGAAATAATAATGTTATGTCTATGAAAGTATTCAAATTTCATTTAATGAGCTTCATTGGCCTGAGAATCAAGTGTCGAAGGTTTAGCATCGTATTTCTATTTTTGAATTGATCTTCAAATACTTTTAAACCATTTAAAGAGCTAATTGGCACTCAAAATGTATTAATATTTTAATCGTATAATCTAGAGCCATTTATTTGCTTACAGAAACCATCAAAGATAACTAAAGATACTAAATTCACTATAGTCTTGAAATAGACAGTTTTCATTGACTAATGAGTTTCGTCTCATTCTGAAAAATCATTTGGAGCTTTGTTGAATCTCTAATTGCAAAATATTCAATATAAACCTCATGAGATTAGTTAAAGTAAGATCATATTATTTATATTAATATTAAATATTAAAACAAAATGAAAATGATGAAATTGAATTGCTCGTTGAATAGTATTCAAATGCTATTTTCACGTCGTTTCATTAGTTGGGAAAAGAAAGAGAAAAAGAAAGAGGCGATTGATGTAAAGAAAGAGAATGGGGCGACCTCAATCACAGTCTGACCGAACTAACAATATGTATTTTTGTTTTCTGGACTGTTTCTTTGTGTATCTCATTTAGTTGATTAGTTGATTAAATGTAAAGTTTGGCTTTGTTATTTAATAAACATTCTGGAGTTATATACCATATTAAATAATGACTGATGATTTAGATCTCGATTCTAACTACCATGACTCGAATCAGATGAACTCTGTTGGTATGTAAAACCATTATGCCTGTCTCTTTTTTGAAAAAAAGATTGAAGGGAATTTTATGCTACCCCAGCTTTCCAATGCTCCGTCAAATCGTTATTGCAAACCTTGTTCTCTATGAGAAATTTTATCCTTTTTCATTACATAGGTATGCGAGTAGGTAGTGAATATCAAGCAGTAGTTCCAGATATATCTACAGTTCTACCAAAGCCTGCTCCTGAATATGAGCCAGAACATGCCGTCCTTATCTGGTCTCCTACAAACGGAATTCCTCCTGAAAAATTGGATGAATTCATTCAAATATGCCTCGAAAAGTATAGTTACAAAATTGAACAAGCTCTAGGTATGTTATGTTGGCATAACTATAACCTAGAGACAGCTCTCGCAGACCTGCCAAATTTTACACCTTTACCTGATGACTGGTCTGTAGAAGATAAAGTTCTTTTTGAGCAAGCTTTTCAATTCCACGATAAACACTTCCATAAAATCAAACAAATGGTACGTCAAGGGATACTTTATCATTATTTATTTCATCATCTTATGTCTGTCTTTCATTTTTTTTCAGTTACCTGATAAGTCCATTGCCAACCTCGTTAAATACTATTATTCATGGAAAAAAACCAGAAGTAGAACAAGTCTAATGGACAGGCAAGCACGTCGATTCATCGTTCAAAAAGAAGATGGTAGTGAAGCTGGGTCTGATGGCCTATCTGACAACGAAAGTGAATCTATAAATGAATTCACTAATAATGCAGACGGTAAAGATAATTCTAACCAAGAAAGCAAATCTAGGTGCTCTAATTGTTCAACTACAGCAAGCGGTCAATTCCACAACACAAGTAAAGGTGTTTTATGCCGTTCATGTTATTCATTTTGGAGGCGTACTGGTCTTATGAAAAATGTCAGTCAATCGAGGAAACAAGAGCCTTCTGGCTCTACTCGCCCAAATTTGTTGAAAAGTAAACGAAAGCCTCCTCGCGGCATGTCAATAAATATTGACGATCTGATGACCATTGTCAATGGTCCTCCTGATCAAGGTGAAGCCTTTCTGCGATCTTTGAGCAATGAAATTGTGAATTTAAAAAGAAATGTACAAACTTTAAAGGCTCATATTAGTCAACTAAAAACCAAAACAAACACTGCTCATACTCTAAAAAGACTTGATGTCTCGGTATGTTATACTTTCATTCAGATGGAAAAGTTTTACAGATGATGTTCTCCATCATTAATGATTTATTTTTTTTTCTCATAGCCGTCACAAAGGATTAATGCACGGTGGACCAATGAGGAAGCCCTGCTGGCTGTACAAGGAGTCCGTAAACATGGCAAAGATTTTAAAGTGATCGCTGAAATTGTCGGAAATAAAACAGAAAGCCATGTCCGCAGTTTCTATACCAATAATGAACGACGTTATAATCTAAACTACATGCTGACCGAATATGAGAATGAATATGGAGGAAGTAATTGATCTGATCACCGTTAATTTCATTCTCATTCACCTTTTCTTTCCATATCATTATTTTCTGTTCCCTTCCTCTTCATCTCCTCATGCCAAATACCTTTTCTTGTCCCACTTCTTTCGTTAATTAATTTCATTAACATACAAACATCTAAATATCTAAGTAAATTACGAACAAGTAAAAAAAATAAATTACTGATTATTGCTTTTTCTCATCATGGATATCTGAGATCTATAATTGTCCGCAACAGACAAAGCTCTCCTTGACATCTATTAAAAAACAAATTCTTAATATACTAATGGTTCGAAATTTATACTGATATTAATTATGGATCTACATCCAAACCAAACAATAAATTTGTCATGTCTAACGTAAAGACAAAGAAGTCTCTAAAACAAAAAAGCAAGCAAAGATTTGTGAAATTATAATTTTCTCAGATAATTTTTGATACTCCAACCACTTGAGCCAACTAAAAATAGCAATTGATATCAGAAGAAGAAGAAAAGAAACAGGGAAAAGGAGAAGAGACTAACTCCTAATTTTAGATTCTTCATTTGAAATGCTTCTGCGAATAATCGTGAATAAATTGAAAAGATGATTCCTTGAGAAGCTATAGCCAAGAAAATTTGGGTAACAAGTGATTTTTATCCAGTCTTTTGGTGTAGCAACTGTGAGAGACTCAAATTGAAAGACAATGAATGAAATATGAATATCTAAAGGCTAAGGATTATTCAATCCTTTAAATTTAATCTTCTTGCAAATTTATTTAACTTTTCATTTTGTTTTGATAATCTACCCATCATCTTACAAGACTGTGAGTTACTTATCATCTCATTAAGAACCTTTCCTCCCCTTTAAACAGAGCGAAGCAGAAACAAAGAAAATAGAAAATCAGTGATTTGAAAATCAATTTCAACTGTTAAAATGTGGGCAGGAATACAAGATGTTTCTTCGGCCGCTTTACTCAACATTAAAGATAACAATCAACAAATGGGAGCCACCACAAGAAATGGAACTCTTCAGGCTCATCATCGAACGGTAAGTCATAAATGTTTATTCATTATGCTTAGATTAGCTACTTTTTTACCTTTTGTCCAATTTAATTTTGTAGACTGATTTGTAAAGATCTTTGTTTCTTGTTATTGCATCTAAAGACAGTTGAAAAACTACCGGACAAGGTTCTTTTGAAAATATTTTCTTACTTGCCCCATCGGGAAATCGCTCGTATTGGTAGAGTATGTAAAAAGTGGCGGATAATTTCATGTGATTCAAGGCTTTGGTCTCATGTCTCTTTGAGACCTGAGATATCTGGACTTCATGTCAATTCAATGGAATCATTACTAGCTCTAATCTCTATTCGCTTCGGTAATTATAACATTCACTTTACACTAGACTTTAGATGTACACTCAACTTGCTCATTGCCTTAATGTTATGTTGTTTGTATTGTGTTAAAACTTTTTGATCATCTACATTAAACGTTTCTTTCAGGTCCATCTTTAAAATACATCGAGCTTCCCATGGAGTTGATCACACACACGGTTCTTCATGAACTAGCCAACAAATGTCCCAACTTGACTCATATTTTACTTGATTTCTCAACTGCAATGCAGCTTCACGATTTCAATGATCTCCACTCATTTCCTACTAAACTGAAAACAATGTGTATCTGCCTATCAGAAGTCATCTTTATGGAAGGTTTCATGAGAAAAATATACAACTTTATTAATGGATTAGAAGTTCTCCATTTAATTGGTACCTATGAGAAAGCTGTTGAAGAGGAAGAAGAGGAAATTTATGAAGTAATAAACATTCATAAGCTGAAAAGTGCTGTACCCAATTTACGGATTGTCAATCTTTATGGAATCAATTTCGTTGATGATTCACATGTTGAAGCTTTTAGTTCCAACTGTATTCAACTTGAATGCCTTTCACTCAACTATTGTACCAAATTTACTGGAAGTGTTCTTAAACTTCTCTTTCAAAGATGCAAACGATTACAATGTCTTCTAATGCAACATACAGGTATTTAGCTTGAAACAAACTATTTTAACTTAACAACAGAAGCATTTAGTCTTCCAAGAATACTTAACCTTAGCTAAAGTGAAGGTAAACACGCCTCATTAAAGCATACCAAATGCATTTTATTGGTATTTTTAGCCTTTCTAGGTATAGAATCTGAAATGGCTACTTTTATCCGTATTTAATGATTTCATTCATTGACATTTTTTATTCAATAGGTTTGAAAGATGAACATGTGAAAGCCGTAGAATGGGAGAAAACAAATCTTCAAGAATTGGATATAACTGCCTGTGAATTATCAACAGATTGTTTAATTGATATGTTGTCCAGGATTCAAGGACTTCGATATTTAGGAGCAGGTCAACAAGATGGCTTCAATGATTTAGTTTTAGGCCAAATGATTGAGAGAGGGACAACCAAAAATTTGATTGCTTTTGATGTTGATGGAAACACGAATTTGTCTGAAGATATTTTACTTCAGTTTCTAAAAATTCAGGGACCTTATCTTAGAGGCCTTCAATTGTCGGGAATACCTCATTTGGCTGAACAATTTTGGACGACAGTTACTCCTTTAATTAAAAACATGAAGTAAGCAAATATTTAAATGTTATTTTGTTAACTCAATAAATATTGTGTTCACTTTTTCATCACCCACAGGATACTAGTCATGGGAATGCCTGAAGGATGCTGCCAAAAGGTTCAATCAAAAGTCCATATCGACTCTCTAATTGATGGGATAGCTAACAATTGTTCAAACCTGGAAAGACTAGAGGCTCGCTGGGATGCAGAGACACTTCGTTTTTCAGATCGATCAAGTAAAGCTGTTGATGCCATTCGACTTAAATGTCCTCGGCTTCGGTGTTTAGTTCTCAGTGATGGCACTTACTTTGAATTAGTCAAATCAAACTTTGAACGAGCTGATAGGCCTACTGTGGTTAGATCAACGGTCAACTGTCGAGTAACCTGTGTTTATCTTTTGCATTATTATAAGCAAATAATATTCAACTGATCAGGCAAGCTTATTATAGTATTGACAATTGTGCAAAAAAGAGATTTGACAAGAATCGATGTTAACTGATGTTTATCAACGGTCAATTGCTAGATTGAATGTAATAAAGAAAACCTAAATGATCTCTTTTAGCGTATCATTTGTGTTAAATGACGGAAAACACTTTTCACAACTTTTTCATCAATATTGTATAGCTTTCACAACATGCATTAAAATTTGAAACAAAAAATTGGTCATTTTCTGGATTTTTTACTTGTTGTATCAATAGTGATTAATATAATGATATTGATTCTGTTATATATTTCCTGTCAAACAATTAATTTTCTTCCTGTAATCTATTTCTTTCAGTTTTGAATTGAAGCTTGTATTAATAATTTTGATGACTATCAAAGGTATTTTTGTTAACCAAGCAATATAAGTTTGCTTTACGAAATAAGTTCTGATATTTAGGTTTAATTGTTGAATTTTGTATGTTTATTGATGATAGCTGTACAGTGATGATCAGATTTAAGTTTACTCATGATTAAACATGATTTAGATAATTTTACATATATTTTTTATAATAAGTGCTTAGTTTTTACAATATAAATAACAGATTATTGTTTTTTTTTGCTATGCATCGGAATGCTTTTGAGTTGCTTTTTTGTTTTTTCGGGTTCATATTGTCAATATCACAGTTAATTTATTACAATAATTGATCTATTTTGATTTGGAATAAAATTCTTTGTCAAATTCAGCAATCATTTTCATTGTCTTATCATCAGCCTTGTCAAGTGATGAGGTGAATCCTTTTGAGTCAACAACGCTATATTCAGGTGAAGCAGCAGCAACGGTGTTTGTAACATCAATTGAGCCAGTCTTCTTGTGAATATCGTGATGCCATCCATGATGTCCGTGGTGACCGTGGTGATCATGACCGTGATGACCGTGGTGTCCATGATCATTCCATCCATGGTGACCTCCATCATGCCATCCATGATGACCATGACCATGATCATTCCAGCCGTGTTCGTGTTTGTGTCCCTGTTTAGTTCAAGTTATCATTAGATTTTGATTGTTGCTTATTGATTGTTGTAACTTACATGATGATGCCAGTGATCATTCTTGTGACCATGTTTGTGGTCATGTCCGTGTTTATGGCTATGGTCATGTTTGTGTCCCTGTTAGTTAGTTAACAATTGTTGATTAGTAGATTGCATTATATTGTAACCTATTGTTATTGCACTTATACTTACGTGTTTATGGTCATGGCCGTGCTTGTGGCCGTGCTTGTGCCAGTGATCATGTTTGTGTCCATGTTTGTGGTCGTGGTCGTGTTTGTGTCCCTGTTTATAAAAGTTTGATTAAGATTAAATTTAGATGATTGGTGATTTAATTGATTTAAACTATTTTCAGCTCTCATTACTTACATGTTTGTGGTCATGTTTTTCCCAGTGATCATGTTTGTGTCCATGTTTGTGGTCATGTCCATGTTTATGACCATGATCATGTTTGTGAACCTGATCGTGTTTGTGTCCATGTCCTAAAATGAGTAAATTTACATCATTAGACAATGGTTAGTAAATGCCCTTGGTGCATAAAGATTGATTCTATTGCTAGAGTTAACTTACCATGTTTGTGTCCATGATCGTGTTTATGGTCGTGTTTGTGTCCATGTTTATGTCCATGACCTATGATGAGAAGAGTAAATGATTAAATGATGATCAAATTGATTGTTGAAGTTAATTGATTATTTGGATGCTCACCATGTTTGTGGTCATGACCGTGTTTGTGTCCATGTTTGTGGTGATGATGAGCTTCAACTGGAGCATGTTTGTGGTGATGGTGATGGTGATGAGTTACCTCTTTAACTTTACACCCATGATGGTCATCATGATGACCCCATCCATGGTGGTCGTGGTGTCCATGGCCATGATGTCCCCAACCATCAAGAGGCTGGATAATAGCAATCTTTGAGATTGATTCTTCTCCTGTTTTCTCAGCTGACTTCTCTAAGGAAGTCTTGCTTGGTACGATTGCATTTACTAATGAAGTAAATGGATTAGCGTAAGCAGGTACTACAATTAGTACTATTAAAGCACAATAGAAACTAAATTTGCTCATTGTTGAGTATGAGCTTATACACACTGAATTGAAATTAACTGGTTAAATCCTTTTGAAATGTTGTTGTTAGTTGATTGTTGATCAACTGTTGACTGATGATTTATCTCTTGAAGTGAGCGCATTTTATACTTTTCATGAAAGGTCTCATTTCAACCAGACAATCTGAACGAACACACAAATTTAATTGTCCAAATTATATGAGCCACAAAAACTCTAAGAAACGGTCGGAATTTCAAAAGTAAATTCAGTTTCTTTGCAAAATGTTTTACAGAAAAAAAGCTCAACTCAGATTAAATTAAATGCTGAAGTAAAAAAAGAGTTAAGTAAAAGACGATAAAAAATGTAAACTTTCCGATATGATTGGTTGGTTGAGAGTATAAAAAGTAGCAAATTTAATGGCTAAAAACTGAGTTAAGAAACAATTGATTTCACATTTAATTATTACTCTGTGGTGACATTTAACTAAAAAGTCTAATTACAGTGACAGATTGTTTGAGAAATTAGGTTTAACAAACGGTAAGAAAGTCAATGAAAAAAGTCCGAAAAAGTTGATTTGATTGTTTTCTGATACTAATTATTATTCAACAATTATGATAGCAAAAAATGTCTGTATTAATGTCAAAGTTTAAACTACGATTTTATTGATAACATGGATTTCAATACAAAGTAAATTAGTGATTCTTTTGACAATAAACATAATTTGTTTTAGTCACTATTGTTGGATTTTATTGATCTAAAAGTATCCAATGTAAAAAGTATAAAATCTGAACTAAATGATAATGGATGTCAACAAATAAGACAGGTTAGAGTTTGATTAGACAATTGCTCAGCGATATTATAAAAACAAATTCATCTAATAAGTTGATTTGGCTGATTGAACGGAAATTTAATATTACCGAGTTTTTGCAATAATTATTGAGATAAATTTATCAAATTTTAAGCACTATGTGCAATTTTATTTTCAATTTTATGATCAAAGGATTTACAAGGAACAGAGGATGAATGAGAAAGATTGGAGGGAAAAGGAGATTTATTGTGACAATTTTGTTTAATTTTGTTGCGTGAATTTAGTTTGTTGTTGTTTCTATACTTAATGAGATAGCCCAATAGATCAAGTTGTGAGAATAAAACAAGATTAAACTGAAGATATGAAGTTTATGAGAAAGGGTTGTGGGGATTATTGCCGATTCTTGCCGTTTAATATAATGATTGGTGAAATAAACAAGCAATGCGCATGAATTATAAACGAAGCAGCAATTAATAAAAAATACGGCAATATAAATAATAGGATGAAAATTAAGATGCTCAGCAAATGATGAATTGGGACTTGAAAATGTGTTTGCTTTAAATCTAAAGATGAAGATGAAGGTGAAGATGGCAATGAGAATTATGTGAAAGAAGAATAGTGATCCATGATCCTGGTTAGATGAGTGAAGGTGTTGTCATTTATATTGATGATAGTAATGATGATGATGATGATTTTGATGACAGTGATTGAGATAGAGATGAATAAAGTCAGAATGTTTACAATCAACGCTATTTGATTAAAGACTGGTCATGATCTTCAATCAAGGTAAACAAATATGGTACCATTTTATTTGATATAATGGTCAATGTGAGTTCGGCAGTTAATAATGAACTTACTCAAGTTAATCAGTTTATGTGCCTTTTAAATGCTAAAATTAACAGACTGGACTTTTCCCTTCGAGATGAATAAGGAAAGATACAGCGAAAGTACAATGTGAGCCTCACAACATAAAATTATCACAGATTTTTTTGCCTTACAAGCAGTTCTTCTTAAGAATATTAAAGTGGAACAAGAGTTTCAAATTAAAAGTTGCACTCTTTTTTGATGACTTATCTGACGCCACTTTTCATATTAGATTTAACATTAGATCGCAGTTTGCTCTTTTTACTAGCAGTATCAACTAAGGAATCTGTATCGGTGTCGAGATTTTCATTTGAGTCTTCCAAGTCTCCATTGAGATCATCTTCGTCGTCCTCTTGTCCCATTAATGATTTTAAACTTTCATCATCTGAATCAGCTAAGCCAGCAGCTCCAGTCATGGATGGGGTCATGGTTGGACCAGAAATGTTTGAAGTTGACTTAGCTTGTTGAGGTATAGAGTGAGTTGGACTTTTCATAGATGAAGCGGAAGATGACGACCCTCTTGGGTGTTTAGATGAACTAGGAGTTGGATTGGTGTTGGGTTGGCTGGAACTCGAACTTGGACTGTTTTTAGTTTTAGCATGACTGGAGGAGGATTTGGAACCCTTTGCAAGAGAAGGAGATGCAGATGATGTGGTGGTTGTTGTTGAGGTAGATGAAGTTGTTCCTAACCCTGCTAAATTACCTAATCCATTCATAAGTCCACTTTGTGCTAAAGATGCGAAAGGAGAAGGAGGCATAGAGAATCCTCCAAGTCCGAGATGACTGTAAAGAAGACTATTTGAATAAAGGAATGGAAGAGAGTTATAAAAGCTTGCAGGGTCATTCAAATTGGGGCTTGGGTTTTGGTTCTGGTTTTGGTTCGGATTTTGGTTAGCATTTTTGGAGCTTGAGTTTTTACCACTTTTATGACTACTGGATCCAGATTTATCAGAACTACTCTTATTTTTATCTGCACTGCTGCTAGAAGAGCCATGATCTTTCTTTTTACTACCTTCAGTACCAAGCCCTGGGACTGAGAATGGATTGAAACCAGAATTCAATCCTAAGCCTGGAAGGTTGAAAAGTGGATTGGCTAAACCCATTCCAAATGGGAAAAGCATTGAAGAGGCCGCATTTGCTGCTGAACTAGTTGATGTTGTTGCTGCTGATGATGATGATACATTACTATTGTTACTTCTAGATCCTGATGAAGCAGAGCTCATACCAGCTGCTGCTGAGATAAAATTTGGATCCATGAGCATTTTATGGAAAGAATTTGATAGAAGATTAGAATTTCCTCCAAATGGATTAAGAGTAGAAGGTGGAAATCCAAAACTGGAACTTGTTGCAGGCGTGGTTGAAGTTGTCGCTGATGATATAGCGGTAGCATTAGCAGCTGCTTGGTTAGCTAACAACGAAGCAGCTGTTGCCCGACGAGGACTCAACTCATTTGTACTATTTTTAGATTTGTTGTTACTACTTTCTCCTGATTTGCGATCACTCGTTCGAGTTCGGATAGTGCTCGGAGCAGGAACATCTCTTGAGTGTGAAGACTGAAAATTGAAAGCAAAAAAGAAAGGTTATAACCAAATAAGATGAAATTACAAGACATTAATAATGCTCATTGATTAATTTAAAATATTACATACCGATGCTTTAGAGGATGAACGGCTATCTCTAAGTAGATTTGCGTACTTGGGATCGAGTTCGTACATTGGATTTTTCTTCAAGAAATCAGGAAGTTGCTTAAGAGTTGGAGCTTTCGATCCAGAGAGCTAAATTAGATGAGGTAAAGAATTCGAATTAAAACTCATGAGAAATTATAAACCATTGATAAGACAGTAATGCAACAAAAGTTTGCTTCACATTATTAGCTTTGCTCTTTAATGATTAAAATAATTGAGAAATCATACCTTCTTTCCATTTAGTCTATTAACTAATGGGATATGTTCATCAGCGGAAAAGCCCAGTGGATTAGCCAACGATTGATGGCTTGACATTGGTGCTGGTGGTGGTAAGGACTGTGTTTTGGGTGGTGTATGTTGAGGAACATCTACCTTTGAACGACGAGAGCTTCTTTTCCTGTTATCGGGTAGCTCTAAAAGCTGCGTCTGTAGAAATTCAAAGAAAATATTAAAATTAAATGAGATATAATGTATTGAAGTCAGAAAGATAATTAAAATTTTGATTTTAGATTTGATTAATTTGACTTACATTAGCTGATAAGGGAGAAGAACCAGTTAAATTTGCAAATGCACTAACAAAGTTAGGATTGGTTAAAAGCTCGGGATGTTCTTCAAGGTACTTCTTCAATTGAGTGGTTTGGTCCAGAAAACTTGCATCTAATTTGGGCAAATTTGATGAGAGATTTCCTGCAATATCAGCTGATACAGATTGTTGTCGAGATGATGATGTTGATTCTTTGTGTCCAGAACGAGGTGGAAATACTTTAGGTGTAGCAAAGTTTGCTTTTTCCGGAGGTTTCATTTGCATATCTCGTGCAAGAGATGCAGACATTGAAGATGAACGAGAAGAGGAATGAGCTGCTGGTGGTGTTCGAGTACGATCTTTGGAACTTGATGAACCTCGTGTTTCGACCTTATCCAGTTCAGAACGCGCTTTTAATTCTCTAGCGGCGCCCATTGGACTTGACAATTTAGGTTTCTCTGGCACTGGATCATCTTGTTTTTCTTGCTGCATCTTCTTTCGTTGCAACAAGTTGGTTGCAAGATCATCTATGCGTCTTCCAATACGTTTACCTGATTTACCTCGACTAGTTAAAGTTGGTGAAGTTAATGGTCCAGAAGCTGAAGAGTCATCCTCTTTGGAACGATCTGAACTAGAATCTTTCCTTATGGGACCACTCAAGTCAAGTACTGATGATAAGGATACAGGTGTAGATGATCGTTTAACCACCTTATCAGGAGGTGGCAATGGCTTAGATGCAGGAGTCATTGGCTGTTGACCAGGTACTGGTTTAGCAAATTTGAGATCCAATGTGTCGAGATTTGGTGTGCGTTTAGTGTTTGATGAAGAATGGGCAGGTGGAGGTGCTCCTTGTGACTTACTGGATTTGTTAGCATGGTCAGATATTGGAGAAGTGAGAGGAGTTTTAATGGACGATAAAGAAGCGAAAGGATGCCCAACAGTTGGTGGTGGAGGTGCATGGGAACGAGATTTGCTGGATGAACCATGTGAATGAGAATGAGCCATAAGAATCGAAGATCCTTTATCATCATTGGCCATCTCATTTCTGAAGTTAGGAAGAGACATCGAAAACAAAGGAGGCAAAAAGGGAGGAGTATTTGCCAACATTTGACTGCTGTGTTGAGACAGGTTCTTCTTTGATGATTGCATTGGAGTGTCAGGTTGAGAAAGTAGATTTCGTAATTTAACTCTATCAGGTGGATCCATTTCATAACGACGTCTTCGTCGACCTCTTGATCGAAGTCGACCTCCAGAATCAATCATTCCAGAAGCATTGGCCACATCAAACATGAATGGATCAGGTGATGGTGAAACTGATTCATGACGAGGTGTATTGTCAGGAGTTGCTTGAGGTGTAGGCTCTCTACTCATACTAGAAATGCTCACTGGAGAAGCAGCTCGAGGTGAACTATCAGCTGTTGCAATACTTGGTGTTGATGGTACAGTTGC